CCAAAAATTTTGCGCACACCCAGTGTTAGCCCCCCCCCCCCCCCCGAAATCGACCCTCTGGCTACGCCCTTGATGTTCACTAGTTTACAAAAACATATTGTGTCTACCAGGGGGGCTTTTGGGACATTCCCGAAATCGACTCCCTGGCTCTTAGTGTCTACGCCTTAAATTTTTTTCGAAAAACTATTTTTGATTAAGCGTTTCTAATTCAAATTTTTCCCATAATTTACCTGACACTTTACATAAAATTTAAGGTGAAACAATTCAACAAAATAGCAATGAAGAAATTATTTTAAATGAGGATGTAGAAGAAATTGAAGAATTATCAGATGATTCTTGTGGAATAATTGGTAGAGATGACGCTGAAGACAGTGATTCTAGCATTTCTTTGGATGAATTGGAAAGTGTTGCAACAAAACTTGCTGCATATCTTAGTCAAAAAAGGCGACGAAGGAAACGAATGTAAGGGGTTTTTATTAAATAAACTTGAAAGTGCAAGCTTAAGCTTAATTATAAGTTTATAAATAACTAACTTGGAAGTTTAAGCTTAATTATGTTTTTTAAAAATAAACTTGAAAATGTAAGTTTAAGCTTAATTTATAAGAACAAACTTGAAAGTTTAAGCTTAAGCTTAATTATAAGTTTATAAGAAATAAATTTGCTAACTTAAGTTTGTAAACTTAAAAACCTGACAAACTTTACAAATAATTTTCAAGTTCTTAAATAACCTTAACTTGTAAAATTAAGTTTACAAACTTTAATTAAGCATTTCTCTAGTCAGATAAATTTACAAACTTAAATAAGTTGATAAAGTTTATTTGATTAAATTTTGCTTTGAGAAACATTTTAAACGAATTAATTTTTTCTATATTTTTAGTGGTGCTTACAAAGGAACGAAATCATTCAAACAAGAACCGTGTGAATCATGAATGAAGAATTAGAATCGCTTTCCAAATTTTTTTTTGTTATATCTAATGTATTCTCTATTTATTTGTTTCTCTTACATTAAGTCGATTGTTGTTAAATCCATGTTAGGCTAACTCACCGACTGACAACTCACTGTCCGCAAAGTATTGTTGGAACAAGCTTCTCTATTTTCAGGAATCGAACCGGAGATTTAAGGTATCCCCCGTTGCACATCAGCATTCCTCGCGCCAAAGTGTTCCCAACCTATTGGAAATGCATCATTTTTTCTTTGGACGGTGTTTTGGTAAGACGGTGGTTTGTCGGTCGGTGTTTTGTCTGGAAGGTGTTTTGGATTTCGGGGAGTTTTCCCTCACGTTCGATCTACCAAACCTACTAATAATTAGTCCTCTAAAATACAATTAACAAAAATCAATATTTGAACCTTTAAAAGAGAAGAGTGTAGATAAATAAGAGAGCGGGAAAATAAAAAGAGTATGAGGCGAGAGAGCGTGTTGAATTTTCAATCAATTTTTATTCGTTGCGAGACGGTTAGAGTTTCGTTTAGCCCGCCCCGTGTGTTTTTACTTTTGCAAACCTTCATTTTACCGCATTCATTTTTTTTATTTTCTTTAAGTTTTCGTGATTAAACTATAAATTATTTTTAAGTTGCTCAATCTCTATATTCAATTTTTTTCTATATACATCTAACTAAAATGGTTGTTTCCGTAACCAAGATGCTTTTCCAACGTAATCTCAACTCACACGTATCTAAGGCTTTTATTTCCACTGAGGTACGTTATATTTTTAGAAGATTTTATTGAAGATTATTTGCTTATTTAGACTAGTGAACGACACGATTTTAAAAAATCGTTTGATTTGCTCTCTTCGGAATTAAAATCATTTCGTGGCGAATTGAATTCTCGAATTGATAACTTAGAAGCAGCACAGAAGGAGACGAACAACAAAATCGTGAGCCTGGAAGCGGCACATAAAGAAATGAATACAACTTTAAAGTCGGAGATCCACGGCTTAAAAGCAGAGCAAAAAGCTGAATTTGCGGTTATCCGATCGGATAACGCTGTTTTTAAGTCGGAAATGACCAACACTTTCAAATTATTTAAATCAGAAGTTAAAGAAGATTTAAACAAATTTAAATCCGAAGTTAAAGAAGATTTAAACAAATTTAAATTCGAAGTTAAAGAAGATCTTATAGACATGAAGGCTACTTTAAAGGTTATGGACTCAAAATTCATCGGGATTGATGGAAAATTGGCTGGGATCAACTCGCATTTAGGCGGTGTCATTCAGCGTGTGATCTCTATTGGAACCATAGTTGGTGGAGCAACTGGATTGTTTATGTATTTTTTCAAATCTGGTTCTCTTCCGTATGCTTTTTGATTTTAACTTATTATATTTTTATAATTTTAGATTTCAAAGTTCCCAATCACACAATCCCAGTGCAGTTGCTTGTTCTGTTAATCCAAAACAGTATGAGGAGTCTAAAGGTTTATATTATTTTCTCTAATCAAAAATTTATCTGGGTTACTAATATTTGAAGGGGGAGGGGAATATTTTTCGATAACTTACAATTAGCTAATATTTTAAGGAATATTTGTTTTAAACCTATTTTTTAAGCTATTCTTCCGTATGGTCATTTTACTTCTGATGGACGTGTTGATTCTGGGGCTATTAAGCCACAACAAAGAAACTTTTATGCTCCAAATGATCATTCTACAAAATCACAATATTAGAATTTTTTGGTTGTTTTACGTTTGTGACTTCTACCTCAAAAACGTGTATTTTTTCGTTGAAGGCGATGGAAAGCATTAACTTAATTTCTTTTTTATATTTTTAAGTTGTACAAACTTTTTGCTGTATAGCTTTATTTTTTTGGTTTTCCCTGAAAGTTTTGTTGACTCTTTTTGGACATATTTCTGGGTTTAAATCTTTCGGGTGTCCTTGTTAAAGCTGCTGTCTCAGGCAGTCCCGCTTGCATTAGTTTTTGGAGCCTTGTTTACGTTTTCCTGTACATACGTTTATTGGGGTTAAATATAATTAACAAGTTTTATTTATTCAATCCAACTTTTGTTTAATGGGTCCTTTTCCTTTGTTTATGGGTCATTCAATCAATATAGTCGATTAAAGACATTACAAATATGTCCGCAAAACTTAAAGTGTAGCCATTCTTTTAAATTTTTTCCGCTCAATCTGTGTATTTACCTATATACAATAATTTTATACTTATATAACAGATAGCGGGTTTTTTTGTCTAATTCAACTAGCCAGTAAAAAATTTGAGAGAAAGAGGGATTGAGGAGATTTTTTGGTGTTAATGTTTTTTAGGAAAATTTTTATTTTTTCAATTAAAAATTTTTTACTGGCATATTTTTATACTAATTTATTTTTTTATATGAATTTCTAAAAAAAAATTTTAAATAAATATTTTACTAACTATTTGTCTATATTTTAATTTTTATGGGGAGTTTGCCTTAAACATTTATTTTTTGATTTTGTCTTTAAATTATAATTTTTAGCCCTTTTAGATGAGTTTTCCATTTATTAGACGAAATTTGAGGTGCTTATCTACCACTTATTTTGGGAGCCGTTTGTTGAGCACAACTGGTAGTAAACACTCAGTCTTTAATCCAAATCAATGGTGTGATCCAATTGTTAGTATTGAACAGGTTGTTGAGTTTTTGAATGGGATTTGGGCTTTGGAAATTGTTGGTTGAGAATTTGTTGGTTCCCATATTTTTTTTGCGTAATAGGAGCCTAGTTTTTTATGCCAAAATTGAATCCTTTTGGGTGACCCTGTTTTGGGCAATCCCCTTATTTTTCAGTTTATAATATTGAAATATTTTCAGCTTAACAATCCATTGCCTGAAGATGATCCAAGGCGTTATTTGTACCCAAAACAAATGGAGTCTAACAAGACGCCCGTTTTTTATAGGTTTGTTTTTTATAATATTTTTATGAGAAAATTTTTTTAGAAATGAAATTGTCGACAGGATGGCCAACATTATGATGGTTAAAGGCAAAAAACAATTAATTCGTACGGAGATTTATGGGGCTTTGGAAATTATAAAAAGAGTTCAATACAAGTTTGAAAAATTTTCTTTTTAATTTTTTAATTTTCTAAAAATTTTATTTTAGAAAATGGTTGGACGAGAAAGACGAAAAGAAGAAGGCAAAAATAGTTCTCGACCCTTTTGAAGTGGCCAGCTTGGCAATTTTGAATTGTAGGCCAATAATGGAACTTAGACCTGTTGGGAGAAGTTTGTTTCTTTTTGTTAGAAAATTTTTAAAAATTTTTTTTAAAGCCGGAACAGTCTATCAAGTTCCTTATCCAATTAGTGAGCATTATTCAATCTTCCGAGCGCTTAAAATGATGAGAACAATTTTGAGAGAAAAATGCAAACATGGACAGAATCGATTTAGGGTATATTTTCTTTTATTGTTATGAGGCTTTTTAATTTTTTTGGATGGAAAAATCTGTTTCGGGATAGGTCTTTTTCTTTATTTGTCCCTTCTTCGCCTTAGAGTCTTAATTTAATTTTTGGAGTATTTATAAAATCCGAAAATTTCTTAATTTTTTTGTGCTATGTTGTTAAACCAAATCCACTTTGTTAGTGAATATTACTCAATTTTCCGAGAGTCCACTTGATTAACCAATAACCAAAAATTTTAAAAATTCGGAATAAAAATTAAGGACATCACATGAACTTTTAATTTGCGCTCATCAAAAAGCTCTCCCACCTACCATTATTTTTCTCTTATCTTTTTATTTAACTAAAAAAATAAAGGAAAAGGATTTTTTCAATTTTAGACTCTATTAGCTCACGAACTCATTGCTGCAATGAACAATGAAGGTTTTACAATTCAAGCCAAACAAGAATTGCACAGATTGTGTGAAAAGAATAGGGCATATTCTAGCTTTAGAAGATATTAAAAGGAAATTTTTTTGTTTTTCGTTATAAAATTGGTTTATAAAAAATTTTTCGATTTTTTAACTTGTGGATTTTCAAAATAATTTTATTTCTTAAAAATTAAATTTAATTTAATATTTTGGTAATTTACTTGTTTTAATCCTTAAAGATGACTTCAACGATGACGGCTTTACTTAATGACTTTGAGCAGCGTTATTCTATTAATACTGCAGGTTTTTATTTGAGAAATTTTTTTTGTTTATTAAGGGTATTTTTTTGGTTACTGCGATTGTTTTATCTGACAATCAACTGCACCCATTTTTGGCAAACTTGGAAGCCCCTTAACTTTTTAGTTCCATATTCCTAGCCAAAAAAAAGCCGGAAATTTACAAGAGTGAATCGATGATGCTCTATTGATTGGTACCAAAAATATAAAGTTTTGACTGACAGTTCGTGAGTTCTCTTTGTGAGCCTCGCCTTCCCCCTGTATAAAAATTTCTATTTTTGGCCCCCTCTAAAAATTCTTTTTTAATTTCCAATGCCAACCCTTCAAATTTCAGTTTTTCAATTTCAGAAATTACTGCAAAAATTGGACAACTTCAGCAATTGCCTCCCTCAGAAGTCCCTTCTGCTTCTAATGAGATTAAAAAGCTTCTAATGGATGTTGAGGATCTTCTTGAACAGATGGAATTGAGTGTTCGTGAAATTGAGCCTAGCAAGTTTGTATTTAGTCCATTTCTAAATGTTTCGATTTTGTTGATATTTTGCTAAGTTGGGAGTGGTCTTGACTTTGACTTGGGAAGGGTCGTGGGTTCGAGCCCTTTCGTTGATTTTTAATTTATTTCGACATCTTTTAGCGTTATTAAAGTCATAAAAATTTTATTTTTTAAAATGTAATCCAGAAAATAATTTTTTATTTAAAGCCCAGACCGCTCTAAATACGATTTGCGCGTTAAAAGCTATAAAAGTGACAAGAAACAGTTGGAAGCAGAGCTTCGAAAAGCTGTAGACCGTATCCGTAATGTTGCTGATAGAGACGAACTTTTGGCATTTAATGATGCTTCTGTAAATGTTGATCAGGTTTTTAAGGATTTTATTGAAATAAAAAGAAAGATTTTTAAGCAAGACAAATTGATTGAAAACACGGAACGTTTGGATGCTGGAGCGAGAAAGTTGCAAAATTGTGAGAGAATTACTATTGAAACTGAACAGGTTTATTTTTTGTTTATATATTTTTTTAAGGAAAGGGAAAAATTGAAGTAAAAACCGATACGACCCTTACTTCCGTACGTAACGTCTTATAATACCTAAAAACTTGAAATACTTAACCGCCGAAAAAAATCCCCAAAAAATTTCAAAAATTTTTGGGGGTTAAGTATTACAAGCTTTTTTCCACAATTAGGTATTTCAAGCTTTTAGGTATTAAATGTTATGTATTGCAAGTACAAATGTTAAAAATTCATACCCTTCCGTATAGGGTCAAATTCTTTTATTTCGCTTAATAAAATTTGAGCTCCTGTTTTAGACCTTTAGCATCGTACTTATATAGTCTTTAAAAGAATAAAATTTCATTGAAGTTTAAGAATCTAAACTACCATGCCCCATTTTAAAAATAATAGAACGTTTACGAGGGGGGTTTCGATTTTTAGAGGTTACGGGTTCCAAAATGAGATTCCTGGGAGAATGACACATTGAAGGGATAACGACTAATTTTTCTTCATTATCAAGATTGTAGGCAATGTTTTCTAGTCATTCCCATTAAGTTTAAAAGACTGATTAATCCATTATCTTTAAAAAATTCAGATTGGAGAACAAGTTTTGGGCAATTTAAGCCTTCAAAGAGAGACTTTAACACGTAATCGTGACCGTATGAGAGAAGCAAATTCTGATTTGGGACGAAGTAATCGAATTGTTTCGCAAATGATACGAAGGTTTTTTTGAAAAATTTTATTTAAAAAAAATTTTTTAAAGAGTTATCCAAAACCGTTTGGTGCTTTTGGTTGTTTTTGTTGTTTTAATGTTCTCTTTGCTTTATTTGGTTTATAAAGCTATTTGAAGGAGAGGAAAGAAAATTATGTTGAGAAGGTTTTTTTCTTTTATTATTTTTTTGAAATTTAAAATCTGACTATTATTTTTGGGCTGACAATGAGTTGGGGAGAGTTTAGAATGGAAGAATGTGTAGAGTTTTTTTTGGAAATTTCAAAGGGGGAGAGTTCAAAAAAAATTTTTTTAAATAAATATTTCAAGATTTATTATTAAAACATTAGTTGAAAGATAAAAGGTGTAGAATCCCTTTCAAGAAATAGATTTTAGAATTCCCAGAAATAATTTTATTTTTATTTTCCTTTTTTAGTTTGATTAGGGGGGGGGGAAATGGCTAAAATCTTTAATTTTTTGATTCCTTTTTTTTCTTCAAAAAAATTTTTTTTGAGAATTTTTTAAATTCTGTTGACACAAAAGTTTGGGCACCTGGCGGAGTTATTGTTTGATGAGTTTATTGTGACATGATGAGTCATTACACGTTCGTTGTGTTCTATCGACTGACATGAACTCTTTTTTGAGGGATGACTCTTTGACTTTTTCTTACTGAACCTTAAACTCCGCCTAAATATTTTAAACCATTCCTTTCCTTAACCTCTCGAGATTCTTTTATTTTTTTTAAAATTATTTTTAAACTAAAAAAATAATAGTCAGATTTTAAAAATATTTAAAATATTATACTTATATAAACACACATAAAACATTCATTTTTGCTTTTGACATACATATTTAAGTAAAAAAAATTATTCTTTATTTTTTTGAGATTCTAAAAATGTTATTTTTATATGCCCATTTAATTTTTTAGATTTTCTTTAAAATTATGTATAGTATTTAAGAAAAAATATAGTCGGTACAATTCGCCGTCTTTAAAGCTATTTTCATTTTTGGCAATTTTTGAGACGTTTTTTCTTGGCCAGAGGTTGTTTCGGTCTTGAACCGATTTTTCAAAATTTCCATGACCCCCAAGGTTCCAGACCGTTTTTTCGCACGGCTAAAGTTCTGGGAACTTGAAACATTGGCCGTTCCACCTTTTATACATTGATGGTGAATTGTAATGACGGTAAAATGTCCTCCATATCCAATTTAATTTTATTGACTCATTGAATTTAAAATTAAAAATTTTTCGAAATAAATCAATCATAAAATAAAGATTTGTGTTTTAATCCGATTTTCTCTTTTTTTTAATCTCTCTAGTAATTTTTATTCTTTATTATTTACCTATGTAATTAAAAAAAAGAATAAAATAAATAAATAAATTTTTGTTCTGATAACAATTTTTAAAAGCAAATTTTGGGGTGTGCGCAAAAATATTTTTTATGGGGTGAAATAACGCAAATTTTGGCGTTTTGCGTTTTTGTCTCCTCAAAAAATATTTTTCGCGCACACTTGATATTTTTTGCTTTTAAAAATAATTGTGAAATAAATTAAAGAAAATGTTTGTTCATTCATTTTAAATAAATAAATACTTAAAAATAAATTTTTATTTCTTAAATTTAATTAAGAAAAAATTTTTTTTCTATTCAGTGAATGCACTCTTACCTTATTAATTTTATTATTTTTTTATTTATACATTTTTTACCTTTATTTTTGGCTAAAAAGGAAATAGCTTTTCTTCAGTGCATTTGGAGACATGGAGATAGGGTAAAATTTAAAAAAATTATTAAAATTTGGGTGTGCGCAAAAATTATTTTTTGTGGGGTGAAATAACGCAACTTTTGGCGTTTTGCGTTTTTGGCTTACAAAAAATATTTTTGCGCACACCTTAAGTTTGGAGTGATTTTTAAAATTTTCTGGAAAATTTTTTTTTCAACATTCGAGAGGGCTAGAATAAATTTTTTAAAAACATTTTTGACCAAAAAAATTAAATTTAAATTTATTATTTTCAAGGGACCAAGTAAACTTCCATATCCAGGTGATCCGTATGACGAAAGTTTTTGGCCTAGAGGTTGGAATCAGCTAACAAATGTTTGTTTTTAAGAGAAATTTTTATTTAAAAATAATTTTATTGTAGTTAGGAATGAGACAAATGAACGAACTTGGTCAATTTTTTAGACAACGTTATGTTGAGGATTGGCCTTTTTTGAGTTCCAGTTATGACCCTGATGAGGTAGAAAATTGAAAAAATTTCTGGGATTAGATGACATTTGACAATTTGAATGTGACACTGACTACACTTTCATATTTCCAATTAATAACCTGTTTAATTTGGGCATTCCTTCATTTACCTTTGTAGAGGAAAGAGAGGGGTCGGGACGGCACCTCCTTATCCTCACAAAAATTGGGGTGGTGGTTGAAGAGTTGAGTCGTGGCACCAGCTAGTGAATTGTGGCACTAGCACCAGACTGTTGGTAGTGCCAACAGTCGAAGGAAGAGAAGGGCGGTGAGTGACTCGGAGCACGCGTCACTTTAGCCAAGAAGAGTAGTGGTGAACGGTAGTGCCGTTCACTTTACCAACCAAACAAAAAACACAAGTCCAGCCAAAAAAAGTTTATTTTCCACAAACAAATAAACAAAGGTAGCGAACAAGTTGAGGGCCAGCAAGGGCCAGCGAAGCAGATCAGCCACAAGTAGTTGATGGTAGTTGAAGTGGTTGAAGAAGAATGAGGAATATTTAGGTGGCTGATCTACCTCTTAAATAGGCACAAAATAAGGGCGGGGTTTGGCATTAAAAATTCCAAAAAATGTAAGTTTGAAAAATTTGCGCGAAGTGGCTAGAGAAAAATAAAACAGAAGGGAAGACTCGGCAAGAGAAGCCAAGTCCAAAAACAAAAGAAAAAATGAGTAAGAGAACGGAGGGTGGCTGGCACGAACGGACACAAAAAATAAATGAAAGGAATTTAGGCGGGAAAACAATTCAAAAAACAAAGAGTGGACGATGAAAATATGAACGGTGAACGAGCAAAAAATTAACCAAACTTGAACGAGTAAAAAAGTGATCAAAAGTCGCCAATGTTTGGCGACACTCCCCCCGCCCACATCACAAAAGTTTGTCTTCGTCATCATCGTCTTCTTCTTTCATCAACCATATTCATGAGTTCATCATCGGCTTTTCCGTTCATCTTCCAGATTCGAGTCAGGGCAAGTGGAGAGCCACGGGCTGCGTCCGTATTTACAACACGGTGCGTGGTTGCATGGTGTGGTCCAAAGCAGTGATGATGGTGATGGAGTGCCCTTTCACGACTTCCCCTTTTGAAAGCTTTTGGTGAGGGGCGGCACTCCACTACCTTGCTTCCTCGTTGTCGTCCAGGTCGTTGTCGAATTGAACACAAGGCAATTGTCTCGACGGCATCACAGTTTGTAGTTGGTTGTTCAGTAGCAGTCACGGTAATTCCATCACTAGCAGCCGCAATAATAGTTCCAGCTTGGGTAACACACATAAATTTTCCCGAGTTAGAGAAGCTCGTTGACGTTTGATTTGTGGCAGCTGCGAAGGTTCCACCCTTTGAGGTCATTGATGATTGCAATGGCTTTCGTTGAGCATTTCGTACAATTTGTTTATACCAACAGGCAATACCAACAATCAGTAGAAGGGCCAGCATCAACAGAAAATGCATAGATGAGCATTTGAAGAGGGCAGTAGAGCCAGCGTTGATTTTGTTGATGCGCCACGAGCATGCTGAACAAACACGATTGGAACGGTTAGAACTGTTAGACCCATTATCAGTTGGACGAGTCAATTGACCATTTTTAGATTTGCGCAGGTTGGCTTTTAGTATATCCGAATTTAACCACACTTTGCGTCGACGGTGACGGTTGGTTCTTCCGTTGTGCACAGTTGAGCTGGTTGACGACTGGAAGTCAGTTTCAGAGTCGTTAAGTGAGCTAGTGAAGACCATTCCAGAGTAGGTCACTTCAGGCTGCGGTGGTGTAGGAACTCTCCAATTTGCTTCAGATGGTCCTTTGTGGTGGCCAGTTGGGTAGTACACACGCTTTCTGGGTTGAGTTTGTTTCCAATTGGCTTCAGACGGTCCATCGTGGTGACCATTTGGGTAGTACGCACGCTTTTTCGGTTGACGTTGTGTACACAGCATGAAGTGGTGTCGGCCTCCACATCTACGGCATTTATTGGCAGCACGGCATTTGTTGAGCATATGACCATCGTATAAGCAGTTGAGGCAACGTCCTTGTTCAAATAGACGGGCTTTGCGTCTGTTGCGGGAGTTGAACATCGGACAACGGCTTGGTTTGTGTGTTGACCCAGTACGGCAGAGTGAGCAACCATTTTCTTCAATTGGTGACTGTGGTGGACAAGCATATAGTTCAGGCTGTTCGTCAAGTTGCTGTGGTGATTGTGCAGTCATGAATGAACGAGAGACATCAGCTGGTCCGTTGTGATTACTTCGTTCAGTCGGCTGGCTGTAGTGAGGTTTCTCCTTAAGCATGGTTGGTTGTTCCAACTTGGTTGGACGAAGTGTGGTGCTTTGATCGTCCACCCCTGTGGCAGACTTCTCACTTCGTTGAGACGAAACAGGACCCAGATTTAGTGCACGTCTTTGTTGTAACTCCACGTTGGCCAAGACAACCAGTTCATAAGATCGTTCAATTTGAGTGAAAACAGTAAGTTCATCCGCCATTCTTGCTTCACCTCGTGGCAATGGAAACGCTTGTAAAACATCCATTTCTTTTTGTTGTTGAGTTGGAGCAACAACCACATACCATTTGTCAACCAGCACTTCTGCTCTTCCAATAGATTGTTTGAGTTGGAATGCCAAACGTTCCAAGTGATCATCGTCTTGTGTTGTAGTGTTGCTAGCATTGAGGGCAGTCAGAACAGCAAACCCTTTATCCTTCATAGTGGCCAGGACCATTGACAATTGTAGTTGAATCACACCAGACATTGATGTGGCTGTAGCTCAGCTCACTGGTGTAGTAGTAGTTGTAGTATTGGTTGTTTTGTTGGTGGCTGTCGTTCAGCTCAACCAAACAGAGTAGTTGTTGTCGTGGCTGTTGCTCAGCACACACACCAAAATTTGGAGTAGTTGTTGTGGTGTTGGTAGTTAATGTAGTAGTAGCTGTTGTTGTTGTTGAGTGTTGTGGCGGTGGTTCCGCTCACACACGAGTAGTTGAAGTTGTCGGTGTAGTAGTGTTGTGGTGGTGGCTGTAGTGCAGCTCACACACAAAAAATGGAGTGGTTGTTGTAGTGTTGTGGCGGTGGCTCCGCTCACACGCGAGTAGTTGAAGTTGGTGTAGTTGTGGTGGTGGCTGTAGTGCAGCTCACGCACGAGTAGTTGTAGTGTTGGTGGCTGTTGCTCAGCTCAACCAAAATAGTAGTTGTTGTTGTTGTAGTGGTGGTGTAGTGTTGTCCCCGTCTTCCCGGGTCGTGGCACCACTTTTTGTAGAGGAAAGAGAGGGGTCGGGACGGCACCTCCTTATCCTCACAAAAATTGGGGTGGTGGTTGAAGAGTTGAGTCGTGGCACCAGCTAGTGAATTGTGGCACTAGCACCAGACTGTTGGTAGTGCCAACAGTCGAAGGAAGAGAAGGGCGGTGAGTGACTCGGAGCACGCGTCACTTTAGCCAAGAAGAGTAGTGGTGAACGGTAGTGCCGTTCACTTTACCAACCAAACAAAAAACACAAGTCCAGCCAAAAAAAGTTTATTTTCCACAAACAAATAAACAAAGGTAGCGAACAAGTTGAGGGCCAGCAAGGGCCAGCGAAGCAGATCAGCCACAAGTAGTTGATGGTAGTTGAAGTGGTTGAAGAAGAATGAGGAATATTTAGGTGGCTGATCTACCTCTTAAATAGGCACAAAATAAGGGCGGGGTTTGGCATTAAAAATTCCAAAAAATGTAAGTTTGAAAAATTTGCGCGAAGTGGCTAGAGAAAAATAAAACAGAAGGGAAGACTCGGCAAGAGAAGCCAAGTCCAAAAACAAAAGAAAAAATGAGTAAGAGAACGGAGGGTGGCTGGCACGAACGGACACAAAAAATAAATGAAAGGAATTTAGGCGGGAAAACAATTCAAAAAACAAAGAGTGGACGATGAAAATATGAACGGTGAACGAGCAAAAAATTAACCAAACTTGAACGAGTAAAAAAGTGATCAAAAGTCGCCAATGTTTGGCGACAACCTTCATAAGATTTTAATTTTTCAGACTGCTGTCCAAAATTTTTCTCCCTCTTATGGGTGGGATATCTGGGAGCCTGGAATTTATGTAGTGGAGAGATATTTTTCGGGTTGGAGTATTTAGGATGTTAAAGGTTGGAGTCTATTTTTTTTAATTTTTATAAAGGTATTTGTCCAATCATCAGATTCAAAGAGAGCACTAGTTTCTGCTCAAGCACTTTTACACGGTTTATATCCTGCTATAGATCCAGACGATCAGTTTGACCCAAATTTAAATTGGTTACCTATTGCTGTTCATTCTACGGGGCCGAATAATGAGGTGAGTTAAACCAAATTTTGACCAAGACTTAAGCAGTACCTTGGTCGGATCTCTATTTTTGTATCCAATGCTTTCGTTTCTTTTTGAAACACTGGCGGATATCTAGTAAATGAGATATAGGTAGGGTATGGATAATTTAGGTCAACGAGTGATGTGTTAAAATTTGACCGAGACTCAAGTGATATAGTTGGGTCTTCAACTTATCCCCAACCTTTCGTTTTCTCTTTTTTTAAGGGCTGGGATATCTGAGAGGGTAATTCCAAGGCTGGTCCCCCCTTTTTTTCCTTTCCATTTTTTCGATTTTTTAAACTTTTTATGGGAAATTATACATCGTTCGAAAGAGCTCTTTAAGCTGAGTCGATCTATAACCATTTGTTTTAATCTTCGTAATTCTGCTCAGAATTTCCAAATCGAACCGATCATAGTATCATTCTACTCAGCTCGAACAGCTCTTTCGAATGATATATTGAAAATTATATGTCAAGAAAAAGCTCAAAATGGTCAGGCGAACAAAAAAAGGGGGACCAGCCTTGGAATTACCTCTGAGAGTTTGGAATATAGGTAAAGGAAGGATATGTTAGAGATTGGTATAAGTTGAGGGCTTCCCATCTTTAAGACTCTAATGTCCAAAAATTTTTAAAAATCTTTTTTAAGCTTTTAAAGCCAACAAGTTTTGAATGTCCCACATATGAAGGAATTAAAAAAACAACAAAAAAAGAATTAGAAAACGAATTAAAAATTAAATATAAAGATTTATTTGAATTTGTACAAATTAATGTTTTTAATTCTACAATGCCTCTAACATTGCATCAAGTTGCTTCTTTAAATAATTTAAATAGAGAGGCAAGTTTTTATTTTTTTAATTAAATATTTTAAAAGGTGTGGAAAGAACAAATTTCAATTAAAGTTGAACTGCGACTCCTTTCAATGTTTTTTTTAACATTTTGAAAAGTTTTTTCAACATTTCCGAACCCGCCCCGAAACACTTTGAAAACTCCGTACCCCGACATACCCGCCCCGAGCACTGTGAGACTCTAATTTCCACAATTTTAAGACTTGGATTTTTGAATTTTGAAACTAGTATTGCCACCTAAAAATTTTAAATTGAAATTTTTGATTACTCAGAGTCCAAAAAATTTTTTAAATTAATTTCTAAGACTATAATACCTATTAGGGATGTGCCAGTTTCGCATTCCGCCTATTTTCGCCTTTTGACTTTTGTCTTTCGCTTTTTAAAAATCTGTTTCGGCACATCCCTGATACATATCTAATGCTCAAATAAGCCTTTAAATAATAATAAAAACCTTTCTCTAGATTGCCCACAATTTAACTCAACCAGCCTGGGTAGAACGTAGATGGCCTCAATATGGAAATTGGAGTACTTTAGAATTGGTGTGTCTGAATATTTTTTTAGTTCAAGAATTATTTTAAAGGTAACCGAATTGAGACGATTGGAACGTATAAACGAATTTAATCGTCCAGAAATGGCTTATTTAATGGGTGGTTATTTACTTGGAGATTGGATTAATAGGGCGGAGAAGGTAATTAAATAAAATTTTTTTCGAAAGGATTGAAGGTTTTTGAGACTTTTGATAAGAGGAAAATTTTGATAAGAGGAAAAATACTTGTCATGTCTCCCCAGTGGGATCTAGCCGACATAAAAATTCAATTCCGGATTTTCGGGAATTGGGTCGGCTAGATCTCTGCTCCCTACGTTGTTAATCTTTTTTTTTGTCCCGAGGACATTTGGGACAAGGAAATTTCTTTCGAAATGAAAAATTAGAAAAAAAAATCCAGCTCTTGAGTCTCAGTTTTTTCCTTTTCAGTCCAAAGGGTCACTTGAGTCTCAAAATTTTTTTCTCTTCAACATTAAATTTACTATTTACTGTTTAATTTAAAAAAGGTAATAAATTCAAAATCTCCAAACGAAGCAGAAAAGGCCGTTCTTTATTCTTCACATGATGGGACTTTACAAGTCTTTATTTAAATTAAAAAAAATTTTAAAATTTTATAAAGGCACTTCTCAGTCTAATGGGTCAAAGATTTAATAATTTAGTGCCTTATGCCAGTACTATTTGTATGGAGATATTAAAGAAAAATGACACCTATCATATTGAGGTGGACAAATTTTAAAATTATTAGACAAGGCACTTGAGATGGAAAGTTTTGGAGCTAGTCTTTCGACACTCAAAATTTTCCTCTCTAGTAGAGGTCGGCTAAATCGAATTTCCAGGATCCCGCGGGATTAATCTCGTCAATCCCGGCGTCCCGGTAATCCCGTTCGTTGCTAAAAACTCGTGATTTAGGGACGGGATCCTGTAAAATCCCACCCGGGATCCCTCCCGAGCCTTTCTCTACTAACTAGAGCTTAAGTCACAGAATTTTTGGGAATTAGACGTTTGAGTCTGAGAATTTCTGGAATTAGACACTTCTGTCTTGGAATTTTCAAAAAATCTTTCCCGAGTTTGAAATTTTTAAAAATTTCAATTTAGATGTTTTATCGTCATTCCGGTCTCGTCCAACATTTAAACTTCCCAGATTGCCCATTAATTCAATGCCCAGCAGAAACTTTAATTAAATCATTGAGAAGTAGAGCTATTTTTGAAAGAAAAAGGCTTTATCATGTAGGTGTTTTTAAGGCTATTTAAATTTTATTTTTTAATTTTTAGCTCTGTGGAAGTGGAGATGCTTATTGTTAAATATGTACGGAGAGAGTGAGGTATAACTAAAAAAATTAATTTATTTTCTAGTCAGAAAAAAAATTTCTGAAATTTTTTTTCTGAATTTTCTAGTCGTTTTACATACATATTTTTATTTTTAAAATTCAGAATTTTTTATTCTGATTTTTATTCTGTTATTTTTCTTCTCCTATGTAAAAGTTAGGGGTTACCTGGGAGCTATTTCCTTTTTAATTTTAGAATTTATTTCAGAATTTATTTCGTTTTTAATTTCAGAATTTATTTCAGAATTAAAAATTGTATTTTATTCTGATTGTATTTTTTCATTATAAATCATAATTAATTTTTATTCTGATTTTAAAATTCTGGTTTCTTTTAATTTATGAATTAATTGGGTATATTAAATTAATGTTAAATTCTCTTTTAAACATCCCTCCAATTAATTAAACGATTCAATTGTTTCTTTAATAATGCCTGCAATTTCTTTAATTTGTTCTTCATTAATTATCTTTAAAAAAATATTTAATTTTATATTGAACGAGAATTTTAATAAATTTACCAATGGAGGTGCTATACGAATTATTTGTTTGGTGTGGGTATTTTTGGCCAAAACACCTTTTTCCTTCAAACGAGTACAGATTTTCCAGGCATCGATTGCTGAAATTAAAAATAAAATTTTAGTAGACCTCTATATTATGGATCTCAATATGGGAGACCTATTTTGTGGATACGGTCGAATTCCCTCTAAAATCGACCGACCTCTATTTTATGGACTCTCAGTATAAGAGACCTTCTATTTTATGGACACTATGGTTTTCTCTCTATAAGCGACAAGACTATGTATAAACTGGGAAAACAACCCAAAATAACTTCTATTTTGTGAACCCTTCTATATAATGGACGGTATTAAAAATCTAAATTATTCTCTAACATTCATTAATAACAACAGCACATAAAAGTCCTTTCCCTCTAACAGAACTGACAACATTTTTGGGTAATTTATTCAATTCGTTAATTAATAAATTTCCCATTTTTAAAGCATTTTCACACAAATTTTCTTCTTTAATAATTTTTAATGCTTCTATTGCTATTTTTGCAGATAAAGGATTTCCTCCATAAGTTGACCCGTGTTGGCCTGGTTTTATTGTTAACATAATTTCATCGTCAGCCAAAACTGCCGAAATTGGGTAGAGACCGCCAGAAAGGGCTTTGCCTAATGTTACTATATCTGGTCTGACATTGTAATGATCACAACAGAGCATTCTTAAAAGTGAAATTTTAACGAGATTATTCTAATAGTCGCCCAAAGTACTGCTGCCGTTCTCTTCTCCGATGTACCCTCGGGCATGCCTTCGCATTGGGGGGGGGGGTAGAAATGAATGATATTCATTCGAATCGGCTTGATGAGCCTATTAACAGGGACAATGACGAGCTTTTAGGGCGCAGTTAGTATCAGGCAGGTATTCAAAATTTTCATCGGATCCGGTTCAAAAGGCCAATCTATCTCTTGTTTGGATGAAAGACCCAAAATTCAAGGGTAACAGCACCAACCCCAGTTTTCAACCCAACCAACCTTCCCGTCCTCCCCAATCCAGTCTGTACTTCATCAGCAACCATCAAAACTCGATTTTTTGTGCATAGTTCACGCACTCCTTTTAAATATCCCTCGCTTGGCAAAACAACCCCTGCCTCCCCTTGTATTGGTTCTACCACAAAAGCAGCACATTGTGGGTCCGAAAGTGCTTTCTTAAAATATTTTAAATTTATTTCACAGCAAAAATCACCTCTAATGCATTCAAATCATTAAATTCCACATGCAAAATATTAGGAATAAAAGGCCCAAAATTCTCATAAACTTGAGGATCAGTAGACACAGAACAAGCAAAAATCGAACGTCCATGAAAATTATTTTTGGCAAAAATTATTTTCGCCTGGCTAGAAGGAACTCCTTTAACTCTATTAAAATTTTTTATTTAAATTTTAATTTCTTTAAGAAACTCATAAGCCCATTTTCTTGCTAATTTTACTGCTGTGTCGACTGCTTCAACTCCTTAAGTTTCCAAGTTTAAAAGAAACTAATTTAATTAACGACTCCCGTTATAAGCGACTTTTCTATATTAGCTACGTCTTAAAGACCTGCTTTCGATTTCGAAAGTATTCGACTTCTAAGTAGACAAAATCTCGTTATAAGAGACCTTTCCTTTATTAGAGACCGGAACGGGATTGGGACCCGCTCCCGCTTCCCGGTCATTATTCCCGGCTGTTTTGAAGATGCCGGGGAGATGATGCTTTTCCCGATTCCGGGTTCCGATGGGTTCCTTCTCCTTCAATTTCCTGTTTCTCGGTCCCGGTTTTTTCAAAATTTCGGTCTCTATCCTCAATCCTCTTTTTGATTCGCCTCTAACGAGAGTCGCTTCTAACGAGAGTTTACGTATTTATTTTTACCAGAATTCATAGGCATCATTTTTTGATATCCAAATAATTTAGTCAAGTATTCTGCATATTCCCCCAACGCAGTCGTATATAATGCACGTGATGTTAAAGTCAATTGTTGACATTGGTCTTGCATAACTTTAACTAGTCGAGGATGGCAATGGCCTTGATTTAGGACAGATTGGCCACTTATACAATCATAGTACATTTTTCCATCAGTATCCCAAAGATAACAACCTAAATTGAAGCATGAGGAGAGATCTCTTAGGTAGAGATGGGTCGGAACAGTCATAGGTCTCGGAAATCGGAAGAGCTGGAAATCGGAACTGGCTCAAAAGTCGGAAATCGGAATTCCGACCCATCTCTGCTCTTAAGAACTGAAATATTACTCTTATAATGAGGTGTTTCTGTATCGCTTGGGTATCGCTTATTCTGAATAATGAGATGTTTCTGTATTCTGATTTTAAATTTATTCTGATTTTAAATTTATTCTGATTTTAAATTTATTCTATATTCTGGCTTATTCTGATTTTTAAATTTAATCTCTCTTTACCTTTTCCTCGAGAAATAACGACAGGTATAGGTCTATAATTGTGAGCCCCATATTCTGCTTCTTTGTCGATGTAGTATTGTTGTCCGTACAATCCGGAGAACATGAACTTATAAAATTATTAAATTTATTTATTAAAAAAATTTTTTACAAGTAAAAATGAACCATTAAAATGTGTTAATTTAAAAATGAAGTGGAAATTCTGTGATTTGTTATAAAAACGACTAATTTAGTGTAATTTATGTGTGTGGTAAAAAATTAAAAAAAGTAAATGGAAGCTTAATTAAAATGAATTTTTTAATTTAATCAGATAATTCCTCTCTGCCTATGATCAGAAAATGATCATATAAAAATACATATAGTAACAAGGGATTTATTTCATAAAAAAATAAATTGTGATTTTTTTAATTATTTAAATTTCAGTTTTAATTCTGGGCTGTTCGCTAACTTAATTGTGATTTTATTTTTTTAAATAGGATATTCTTAAAACTTAAGTTTGTAAAGCTTATTCTTCTTTTCTATTTAAAATTCTGATTTTTCTGATATTCCTAAAACTTAAGTTTGCAAATAAAATTCTGATTTCTTATTTATTCTGACATATCAAACTTAAGATTGCAAATAAAAAAATTCTGATTTTTTAATTTATTCTGATTTTTCTGATATTCCTAAAACTTAAGATTGTAAAAAATTCTGATTTTTTTAATTTATTCTGAGTTTACAAACTTAAGATTGCAAATAAAAAATTCTGATTTTTGTTTTCTATTTAATTCTGATATTTTTAAAACTTAAGTTTACAAATAGTCTTCTGACTTTTCTAAAATTCTGATATTCATAAAACTTAAGATTATAATATATTCTGATTTTTTAAATTTATTCTGATATTGCAACAAATAAAAAATTCTGATTTTTCTTTTCTAGTTAATTCTGATTTCTTAAAACTTAAGATAGTAAAAAAATTCTGATTTTTTATTTATTCTGGTATTTAAATATTAAGATTGTAAATAAAAGTATTCTGATTTTTATATTTGTAAAACTATACAATCAAAAATTACAAAAGTAATAATTAAATATATTCTGATTTTGTAAGATTGTAATAAAATAATATATTCAATCAGAATTACACAAACTGTTTAATTGTATTTCCTATTATTTCTGATACTTCAAGTATTTGTTTTTCGTTAATAACCTGAAAAATATTCTAATTAAAGACTAAGACAATATTAGCTTACCAAAGGAGGCGCAAATCGGATAATTTGTTTGTGGGTATTTTTAGCTAGAAGGCCATTTTCTTTTAATTTAAGGCAAACATCCCAAGCATTTATAGCTGGAAAAATTAAAAAAAAAATTTTTTTTATTTAAAAATAATTTTTTCTAACATTCATTAATAACAATAGCACATAAAAGTCCTTTCCCTCTAACAGAAGTGACTACATTTTTGGGTAATTTATTCAATTCATTAATTAATAAATTTCCCATTTTTGAAGCATTTTCACACAAATTTTCTTCTTTAATAATTTTTAATGCTTCTATTGCTATTTTTGCAGATAAAGGATTTCCTCCATAAGTTGACCCGTGTTGGCCTGGTTTTATTGTTAACATAATTTCATCGTCAGCCAAAACTGCCGAAATTGGGTAGAGACCGCCAGAAAGGGCTTTGCCTAATGTTACTATATCTGGTCTGACATTGTAATGATCACAACAGAGCATTCTGGAAAGTTAAAGAAATTCTTCCATTAGACGTTTAAAGTTCTGTTGCCGTTCCCTTCAGCTTTATACCCTATACTTCCCATCTTCGATATACCCTCGGGCATGTTTTTTCATAGGCGAGTCAGAAACTATTATAGTATATCTCATTCGACGTGACTTGATGAGTCGAATGATACTAGGACTTGGTTAAATTGGTAAAGCTTTGCCACTGACCAACTATCTAGCGGTTCGGCCGCAGTTTGGAATCGCTCCTGGTTTAGATGAAAGACTAAGGGGAAAGGTCCAATCCAAATTTCCCTTACCAACCTTCCAGTTCTCCCCAATCCAGTCTGAACTTCATCAGCAACCATCAAAACTCGATTTTTTGTGCATAGTTCGCGAACTCCTTTTAAATATCCCTCACTAGGCAAAACAACACCTGCCTCCCCTTGTATTGGCTCTACCACAAAAGCAGCACAGTGAGGGTCGGAAAGTGCTTTCTTAAAATTATTTTAAATTTATTTCTAAGCAAAAATCACCTCTAATCCGTTCAAATCATTAAATTCCACATGTAATATATTGGGAATAAAAGGCCCAAAATTCTCATAAACTTGAGGATCAGTGGACACAGAGCAGGCAAAAATCGAACGTCCATGAAAATTATTTTTTGCAAAAATTATTTTTGCCTGGTTTGGAGGAACTCCTTTAACTCTATTAAAAATTTTTTTTATTTTAATTTTAATTTCTTTAAAAAAACTCATAAGCCCATTTTCTTGCTAATTTTACAGCTGTATCGACTGCTTCCACTCCTAAAGTTTCAATTTTAAAAGAAACTAATTTTAGTATTGACTCTCGTTATTGGCGACTTTTTATATTAGCTATACCGTCTTAAGACAAATCAAAGCTTGTCTTCGATTTCGAAAGTATTCGACTTCTGAATAGAGCAAAATCTCATTATAAGAGACTTGTCCTCAATCCTCTTTTTGAGTCGCTTCTAACGGGAGTCGCTTCTAACGGGTGTTTAAGTATTTATTTTACCAGAATTCATAGGCATCATTTTCTGATATCCAAATAATTTAGTTAAGTATTCTGCATATTCCCCCAAGGCAGTTGTATATAATGCACGTGATGTTAAAGTCAATTGTTGACATTGGTCTTGCATAACTTTAACTAGTCGAGGATGGCAATGGCCTTGATTTAGGACAGATTGGCCACTTATACAATCATAGTACATCTTTCCATCAGTATCCCAAAGATAGCAACCTAAATTGAATCATGCGAAGAGATCTCTTAGGGGGTGAAAAATTGTCTCTTATAATAAGGTGTTTCTGTATCGCTTAGGTATCGCTTATTCTGATTTTCTTAATTTAATCTCTCTCACTTACCCTTCCCTCGAGAAATAACGACAGGTATAGGTCTATAATTTTGAGCCCCATATTCTGCTTCTTTGTCGATATAATACTGTTGTCCGTACAATCCAGAAAACATGAGCTAATTTAAGTATTAAATTTACTCAAAAAAAAAATTTTTTTTACAAGTAAAAATGAGCCTGTAAAATGTGTTAATTAAAAAATGAAGTGAAAATTCTGTGATTTGTTATAAAAAAAGGACTAATTTAGTGTAATTTTCTGTGTGTGGTAAAAAATAAAAAAAAAAATGAAAGCTTAATTAAAATGAATTTTTAAATTTAATCAGATAATTCCTCTCTGCCTATGATCAGAAAATGATCATATAAAAATATAGTTAATCAAGGGATTTATTTAATAAAAAAATAAATTGTGATTTTTTTAATTGTTTAAATTTCTATTTTAATTCTGGGCTGTATGCTAAATTAATTATGATTTTATTTTTTAAATAGAATACTCTTAAAACTTAAGTTTGTAAGACGCATTCTGCTTTTATATTTAGTTCTGATATATTCAAACTTAAGATTGCAAATAAAAAATTCTGATTTTTCCATTCTATTTAATTCTGATATATTCAAACTTAAAATTGTGAATAAAAATATTCTGATTTTCTTTTCTATTTAATTCTGATATTTTTAAAACTTAAGTTTACAGATAGTATTCTGACTTTTCAAAAATTCTGATATTCTTCAAACTTAAGATTGCAAATAAAAAATTCTGATTTTTTAATTTATTCTGATATATGCAAACTTAAGTTTAAATAATTCTGATTTTTTCTTCTATTTAATTCTGATATATTAAAACTTAAAATTACTGATAGTATTCTGATTTTTTATTTATTCTGGTATTTTAAAACTTGAGATTGCAAAAAAATATTCGGATTTTCTTTTCTATTTAATTCTGATATTCCTAAAACTTAAGTTTACAAATAAAATTCTGATTTTTCTAAAATTCTGATATTTTAAATATTAAGATTGTAAATAAAAATATTCTGATTTTTATGGTTGTAAAATTATACAATCAAAAATTACAAAAGTAATAATTCTGATTTTGTAAGATTGTAAAAATAATGTATAAATTCAATCAGAATTACACAAATTCTTTAATAGTATTTCCTATTATTTGTGAAACTTCAAGTATTTGTTTCTCATTAATAACCTGAAAAAATTATTCTAATTAATGCCTAAGACAATATTAGCTTACTAATGGAGGTGCAAATCGAATAATTTGTTTGTGGGTATTTTTAGCTAGAAGGCCATTTTCTTTTAATTTAAGGCAAACATCCCAAGCATTTATAGCTGAAAAAATTAAAAAAAAATTTTTTTATTGAAAAATAGTTTTTTCTAACATTCATTAATAACAATAGCACATAAAAGTCCTTTCCCTCTAACAGAAGTGACTACATTTTTGGGTAATTTATTCAATTCATTAATTAATAAATTTCCCATTTTTGAAGCATTTTCACACAAATTTTCTTCTTTAATAATTTTTAATGCTTCTATTGCTATTTTTGCAGATAAAGGATTTCCTCCATAAGTTGACCCGTGTTGGCCTGGTTTTATTGTTAACATAATTTCATTGTCAGCCAAAACGGCCGAAATTGGGTAGAGACCGCCAGAAAGGGCTTTGCCTAATGTTACTATATCTGGTCTGACATTGTAATGATCACAACAGAGCATTCTGAAAGGGGAAAGGATTTATACCAATAGATGTTTAAAGTTCTGTTGCAGTCCCCCTTTCCGTTATCCCCCGTACTCCCCATCTTTGATATACCCTCGGGCATGTTTTTTTTTCATGGGTGAGTCAGAAGCTATTTTATATCTTAAAAGCTGTGACCGCTGTGGCCAACCATCTAACGGGTTCGACCATAGCTTGGATCAGGCATGGTTTCAAAATTTTATCCGGTCGGGTTTAGAGTAACCAAATCGCCCCTGGTTTAGATGAAAGGCCCAGACACTAAGAGGGAAAAGGACTAATCCAATTTCTATCTCAACCAACCTTCCCGTCCTCCCCAATCCAGTCTGTACTTCATCCGCAACCATTAAAACTCGATTTTTTGTGCATAGTTCACGTACTCCTTTTAAATATCCCTCACTAGGCATAACAACACCTGCTTCCCCTTGTATTGGCTCTACCACAAAAGCAGCACAATGAGGGTCAAAAAGTGCTTTCTTAAATTATTTTGAGTGTCAAAAATATTTTTAAACTCTAAGGACCTCCAAATCTGACAAATTGTCAAATTCCACATGCAAAAAGTTTGGCAAAAAAGGTCCAAAATTTTCAAAACAATCGGGATCAGTAGATGCTGAACATGCCATAAGAGAACGCCCATGAAAATTATCTCTTGCAAAAATTATTTTTGCCTGGCTTGGAGGAACTCCTTTAACTCTATTAAAATTTTTTTTTAAATTAAAATTTCTTTAAAAAACTCATAAGCCCATTTTCTTGCTAATTTTACTGCGGTATCGACTGCTTCCACTCCTATTAATATATTTTTTAAATTTTTAAAAATTAAATACATTTGAACTTCATTTTAGGATCTTTCTAACACGCCTCTCCTCGAGGAGCTGAAAGAATCTTATCTTCTTATTTGCTTCAAGTTTCAAAATTTTCAAAAGTTGAAGCAAATTTGCTTCAAATTACAAAACTGAAGCAAAAAGATGAAGCAGAAGCTTGCTTCTGCTTCTGATATCTTCTTATTTGGAGGGTGTACATTAAACTTGGAGGTAGGAGAGGGTGATTATAGAAAATCCCTCATCTAGTGGGCTAACCAAATTTTAAAAAATAATAGGTGCCCTAAATCGAAGGTTATCTAATTCTGGGGATATCTTATAATGCGGTCCGACGACTATATTTTTACCAGAATTCATAGGCATCATTTTCTGATATCCAAATAATTTAGTCAAGTATTCTGCATATTCCCCCAAAGCATTTGTATAAAATGCGCGTGAAGTTAAAGTCAACAATTGGCATTGGTCTTGCATAACTTTAACTAGTCGAGGATGGCAATGGCCTTGATTCAAAGCGGAATATCCACTTAAACAGTCATAATAACTTTTGCCGTCAACATCCCAAACATTACAACCTTCATTACAATTTTAAGTTAAAAATAAAAAATTGGAAAATGCTCTACTACCTTTTCCATGAGAAATAACGACAGGTATAGGTTTGTAATTGTGAGCACCATATTTTGCTTCTTTTTTAATATAATGTTGAGAGGTTTTTTGTTGAGAAGCAGCCTTGCTTAAATTACGAAATAAAACTTGGACTGTATTTTTGGTGTTCAAGTTTGCAAAATATTTAAAATTAGTTAATAACATTTTACAAACTTAAAAATAATTATTTATAGAAGAATAATTAAAGTCTTTAAGTTTTAAGTTTGTAGTTGTAAAAAAATAAGTTTCAAGTTTTACTTAAATTTGTAATCTAAGTTTTAATGAACTTAAGTTTGTTAATAATTAAATTCCAAGTTTCAAGTTTGCAGTTTTTTAAGTTTATGCTTAAAGTTTTAAGTTTCAAGTTTCAAGCAAACTTAAAAGTCAAAAACTTAAGTCTAAACTTAAAACTTATTCCTTTATAGTTGTAAATGAATAAGTTTCAAGTTTTACTTAAGTTTGTAATTTAATTTTATAAAACTTAAGTTGGTTAATAATTAAATTCCAAGTTTTAAGTTTGCAATTTTCAAGTTTAAGCTTAAACATTAATTTTATAAGAAATATGCGTGTTTTAATCAAAAATTGATTCAAAAAACAGATTGATTGAAAGTGAATGTGAATGAAAAGACAAAATATTTATGAACAAAAAATATCACGTTTACTTATCACATTTTTCTTTTGATAGAACTGAGAACATTTTTTATTTATAAAAACACATAAAAATTTTTTCTAATGTTCAAAGGAAAGTTTTTTTTGTACAAAAGATAAAAAATGTTTATTGCAATCTTAAAGTTTATTTGATTTATTAGACATTGGATATTTATCAGATTATTTTTTTAATTTTGACAAACTTAAGTTTATATTTTTTACACTCGCTTAATTAATTATACACTTAAGTTTATTTTTACACACTTTGGTTGGTAGTTGTAAATTCCAAGTTTACATATCAAGTTTGATCTTACAATTTAAGTTTTCTAGGTGTCTACTTATTTAATTTTCACAGACTTAAGTTTGTATTTTATACACAGTGCAATTTAAAAATATTCTTAAGTTAAAAAATTAAAAATAAACTTACAAGTTTGTGTTATGGTGCAATTTAAAAATTGTCAAAACTAATAACTAAGCAATTAATATTTTTGAATTAATGAATAAACAAAATGAAACATTATTTTCAATCTACAAACATTTTTGTTATGATAGCTAGACAATCTAAAGCGCTTGAGATTTCTAAGATTAGCTAGACTGTGCTACTGTAAACACAAATATTTTTTATACGAACCTCACATTCCTTAGTCTGATTAATCTGTGTGTTCGTCCCATTCCTGGACCGGAACCGAGGAAATGCTTTGATTTTTAGGAACCGGAAGAACACTGATTTTTACGTGATTAATAAGCAATTAAAAAAACAAAGGAATTTCAATAAAGTGAATCATGGCTAAATGAGTTTTTTTTCATTTTTTTCAAGATAAAGTAAAGCAGCTGGGCTATAGCTATTTCTCTCCTTTAGCTAGTGCAAAAGGTTACTTGGCGGCTGGGAGCGAACCAGCATCTTCGATAGACCGGACTGATGTGTTAGCCATTACACCACGCCGCCTACTGCATAGCCTTAGGAAATAAATAGCCTGATTTTTACAATCCTGATAAGTTAAACATTCTGAGAATTTACAATTAAATTGTAAAGGCTCATGAATCTGACAAACTTCGATGAACTAAAATTTACTATAAAAGCCTTGTTGATTGTTTCATTCTTCCCTCCAAACGCAACAAAAACTTCAACCACTTCAACTCTACGTCAACACCGTCCAAACAAACATCAAAACGCTTCATGCTCCTCTGCCTCCTTCATCCAATGGACCACAACACCGGACCTTTGGCAAGGAAGTCGTCGACGCTTTGTGCTCTGCTGCTGATATCCATCGCCACGCTTCTAGTGCTTGCAGCTCCTGGACAAGCCATCGTTGAGGAAGTCGGAGTCGCCAAACACACCAAGGATGGAAACAGTGTAACGCTCGAATTAGACAGCAAGCTGGCCAGCGATGACTTGAAATATGCCGAGTACGTGAAGCGTTTTCCCACTGTCTGTAATTTTTTGATCACCAAGGAACACATGTAAGCTGATTCGTTCTTAAAATTTGAAGAAATGTTTTAATTTTTCAGTAAGCTTCTATACGAAGGCAAAGGGTGCACTGTGGAATTGATCGCTAAAAAGAAAGTGGAAATGATCAAATTCACGACTGGATACGTTAAAGATGGCTGTAACCTGGAGTGCGACGACGGTGAAGACAGATTAAAGGGACTTTCAAATCTGTAAGTTAAAGCTAAATGTCGATTTAGACCATCTAATAATACATTTTAGCCTGCCATTCGCCTACAGCAAAAGCAAAAAGGACATCAAAAATTACACCAATGGTCCATTCTACGATGGTAATACCGAGTGCGATACAGTAAGATGTGTGGGGGGCAAGTGCATGAAGGATACATTTCTTGAAGTCTCATGGAGGAAATGTGGTGGTGATGTATCCGCTAAAACCCATTTAAGTAAGAAGACGATTACCTATTTTTTAATGTAAAACATTTATTTTAGTTGGTGAAGTTGTATCAGCTTCTTCAAGCTTGGATCAAGTGGAAGAAGAACAAGGTGGTGATAAGACGGAATTCAATCTGGAGATATATGCTAATAACAGCTTCAAAATGTTGTTTAACGAAAACATGAAAAAATCTTTAGTGGCAAACAAGATTAACTGCACTCCAAAAAACAAGAGGGCCATTGTCGAACCATCATCATGGGAAATCAAAAATGGAGTTGGAGACCTGCAAGGCAAACATCTGCTCGTATTCCATCTACAGGGTGCGGCAAATTAAGCGCGCGTTTGTTTTTTGTCATAACTTTCTTCAATTTTAATGAAAATTGATAATTCTTTTTTTGTTTTATTCCCAACACGTTAGGAAACTTGCTGATACCAAATATTAAAAATTTGGTTCACTGTTGGCAAAGATAATCGAGTTCGATCGTCTGGAAAATTTAAAAACATTTTTTATGCCAAAGTTTAATTGATCATAACTTCGTTCAAAATCGTTCAATACAAATGATTTTGGTATTAAACGACTCATCTCGTTCAGGAGCATCGAAATAGCTTATAATCTCATTTTTGAAAATTTTACACAAAAATTTTATTTTTATCAAAATTATTTTAATTTATCATTCAGAGACCGTATCTCATTCAATTTTTGTCATAGCCCCATGATTTTTATGTCATTCGAATCAGAATGAAGAGCTGATTCGAATGATATAAACATTTCCAATATTAAAATCTCAGCCTTGAATCTAGGCCAATTTTTATCCAAAAAATTCTGCTCAAACTTTGAGGGAAGTTTACTCAGAGTAAACTTAAAATTAAAAAGCAATTTTGGTATCAGCAAGTTTCCTAAAGTGTTGGGAATAAAACAAAAAAAGAATTATCAATTTTCATTAAAATTGAAGAAAGTTATGGTTAAAAACAAATGCGCGCTTAATTTGCCGCACCCTGTACTTCCACAAAATGCTACACGATTGCACGACGAAGGCAAATCCATGAATTCTACGAGAGTCAGACCAAAATGTGATCTCTTCATTCGCTTTGTAATACCTTACAATCCTTCTAAAATTCAACTAAATTTTTATCTTTTAGAACAGAACAGACGATGGCTACGAGTTTCTTCGGGTCGACCCTCAAACAACGACTACAAGCACAACTACAACAACACCCAAACCAACACCAAGTCCCAAACCACAACCTACTGTCAAGGCAACTCAAACTCCACCAGAGCAAAAGACTACACAAAAAGTTCAAGAAGTAGCGGCCACCGAAGGAGGAAGCAGTGCCTGGATTTGGATCTTTGTGATTTTTGTGGTGATTGCTGTAATTGGCGGCGCTGTCGGGTTTTACTTCTACCGAAAAAATCAAAAGATAAAAGAAGAGGACGAGAAAGAGAGGTAATGGAGAAAGAGTGAAGTAAAATAGCTAATCTTTTCAATATTTTCAGAGACTTTTGGTACCGCTTTGGAGACGAACAGAGGATTGCTGATGAAAACATGTCCCGTTCTAAAGCAAAAATGCCTTCCTTGGAAGATCAATTCGTCAAGGAGATTTTTGACAGGATGAAGAAGGAGGATGAGGACAATGCGGCAAAACACTATAAAATTCTCTTCAACTGCTATCTGCCAGAATTGAAGGAAAAAGGTTTCAAAACTGTTGGCACATACAGGGAATGGAAGAAAACGGTGAATTTATAAAAATTTAAAATATGTACATTGAAAAAATTTTCAGAATCGATGGTCTCCGCTAAAAGTCGAACAGGAGGAGGTGGAATCATTCAGCGAAGAAGTAAAAAAGGACGAAGTTGAAAAGGACGAATCTGCCGAAGGGAAGAAGACAAAGGGCGGCAAGGGGAAGAAGGATAAGACCCCGAAGGACTCAGCTTCGAAGATGGAATCGACTCCGAAGGATCCGGCCCAGAAGGAGGCAACGACTTCGAAGGACTCGACTCTGAAGGAGAACCCGGCACCGGAGAAGTCAGACGCTGTAAAGAGCAAACAGGCAGGCACGACATCGGATGTTCCAACGGATATGGTGTCGGAGGCTAAAGAGACGGATCAGTAAATTGTGGAGATGAAGAAGGTTGCGGCTAGGAATAAACTAGATGAGAGAAGTTGAGAAGATATAAATTGGAGATAATCTGTAATCATTCATTCTCTATCTAATTATTTTCCCAATCCCCAATATTCTCCAAATCTCTCAACAAATTGTATTTCTCTCTCTATGGCTATATGCCTCTATATATTTCCCCCTATATTTCCCTATATCCCCTATATACCCATATATTCACATATTAGGCTATATGCCCATCTATATATGTATCATGTGTATTTTCCCTATATATACACAAATTTCCCTATATATATTTCCCTATATCCCCTATATATATTTGCAGGTTGAGTTGTATTCCCTGCTATATCTCATTATATATTTGTATTGTTGTAATTGTGATAAATATATGTTTGTAAGGAATATTAATTTTATGTTTGTTTTTAATGCCAAATCTAATCCTTATACATAAGGCTAAAAATCTAAGCTGAAAAATCGCAATAAGAATGAGTATTTAATATTGGGGATATAGCTTAGGTAGTTCCCCTTTTGAAATTTTTTAAATTTTGTAAAACGATTAATTTTTGACACAAAATATCAAAATTTTCGGGTTTAAAGTTGGTTGTGAACAACCCTATTTTATAGGTGTATTAAAATTAAAAGGACATTCTGATAAAAAATTATCAGAATAAAAAGGACTTTGTTGTTGTTTAACTTTCCAAGTATTTTATCAATTTAAAAGTGTCTGGGGAGGTTTTTAAAAAAGACTATAATAAATTACTTGTGTCAAGATTTAGTAAAAAATTAAGAAAGAATATTTTTTGAATAGAAAAAATGTATGTAGTTTTCTATCTAGAACCATCATGGAAACGGCTCAAACCGAAACACAACCGATTGCGCCGCCATCCAACCCGATGAGGGTTGTTTATTTTCATTCATATTTTTTCTGCAAGTGCGGACAAAACGGGAAACAATATTATCTACCAATAAAAAAATCTAGGGAATAATTTTTGGGAATGATAATAAGCTTCTATTCCTCCTTTCATCACTTTAAGAAAAATTTTTTGTGATTTTATAGACTAGTTAGACAGGAATCTTCCTTGTTTAGCGCAACAAAAAGATATGGGAATGCCCAAGAAATATTTTTCCAAGGAATCCTTTTGGCCTATTTTTGGCATGTTTTTAAAATTTGAAAAATAGGTGTTTATGGTAAAATTTTGGCGCACAACCCTGGTCAACAAGGCCTCTTGCAACATTTGAAATTCTCGTAAAAATCTAACTCAAAAACATTTTAATAGTTATATTTTCACAATAATATTTGTATATTTACAATCTTACAAACACAATATATATTATCAACAATATTAATGTTATGAGTAAATACATTAACAAATCCCTAAATAATTATGAGAGGAATGACGACAAATATATCTATCTATCACACACTTCTTTATATCCTTCCATATACCCTTCACAACCAAAAATATTCCTCATCCCATTTGTCATTCCCAAAGTTAGTTTCATTCTGCTTTTGGCATACGAGTTGGCGATAGTCGAAAAATAATTTGTCTAGCAAACGATCGGTGCTATCCGAAGGGAAAGAGCTTTGAAGAAGTTGCAGAAACGAGTTCATATTTGAAGCGTCCATGGCGCAGTTGCGGAATTGTTGTTGAGCTTTGAATTGATTGTAATATTGCAGCTGGTCATTATTCTCCTGAATTAAATATTTTGATTATTTTAAAGTTGGTAAACTTAAGTTTTCAAGTTCAAACTTATAATTTATTCAAGTTTGTAAAAATATAGTCAGGTTGGAATTAAGTTATTCCAAGTTGGTAAACTTAAGTTTTCAAGTTCACTTGTGGTCAGGTTGCACTTAAGCTTGTCAAACTTTTTTAAAGTTGGTAAACCAAGTTTGCAAGCTTCAAAATACAATACACTTAGACTTAAGTTTTTCAAGTTTAATCTTGATTTTGTTTGTTACCATTTCTCCAGAGAATAAAGGATCAGAATCCATCTCTTGTGGTCGAGCATCAAATATAGCTCTAGCCAATGCACTGTCCACAAAATATTCTTTGTCCAGCCATGAATCAGAGGAGCAGGAGAAGAATTCTAAAAATTGAAATATTTGTAGATATATTTTCAACAAATACGAATCGAACCTTTACTGCTGTCTTCCATGTAGTACGAAGAATCACAGTTTGAAGGACTAAACAGAGCTATACCTCCTGTCTCGGGTACAACTGAAAAGATAAACTTAAGTTTTCAAGTTCAAACTTTTTTAACAAACTTAAGTTTGTAAACTTAAAACTTGCCTTGTGTTTCAACATCACTCAGCTTATAACCAAATGAATTTGGCACATCCCCACAAGATTTGGTTCGACGAAGAGAAGACAGTTGAACTTTTTTTGTAATCTTAGGATCTCCTTTGTAGTCGTCAACAGTAATTCCAACTTTATCAACTGAAAAAAATTTTTTTTTAATTTTCAAAAATTTTTCTTTCCTCACCCTTAAAGTCATAATGTACACCAGAACTTTCCTCAATACAACTCAGAGACTCATCTGTTTTAGGAACAACAACTCCATCGAATACAGACCGGTGTTTTTTGGGGTAGAGGTTTGAAGATTTGACCGTTATTTGCTTGGTTTCCTCTAAAGAATCCTCAAGGTTCAACTCATCCAGAGCCATTAGACTGTAAGCACTGTTGCTAGGGTTGCTTGGAGGATAACAGTAAAAACTGTTATTTGTCTTTGTCTCTTTCAAGGGTTCTTCTTTGATGTTGTCGTCTATTCCAGAATCCTCAAGGTTCAATTCATCTTCTATTCCAGTCACCGATTGCGTGTCCCTAGTAGTTGTGTATCCGTCAGCAGTCCAGGCTAAAAGAGAAAATCAGAAAATCCAAAAATTTTAATTTCACCATCCGTCCCAACACTACAAGAAGAAACAGTTGGAGGAACTTCTACCCCATATCTTGCATCCAGTCGCAATTTGTTGGAAGAGGGATGTTGTGTTTGTTGTTGGCGGAATTTCTCAATCACAGCGCTAAAGTCCGGAAATGACGACATACATAATAGTAGACTGATATAACTATTCTGGGGAGTTACACTGTCTGGACAGAATTCTTCCACACTCTCACGTCCATCCACATAGTGTGATGGATTAGAATCGAAAGAATACCCTAAAAGTGAAGAAAAATGTTTCATGGTTTTATTTCAAAAAAAATTCACCTTCCTCACCAACATTGCTTAAGTCGAAAGTTGAGGACATTCCTAGCAGGCTAGCATATCTATTTGGTGGTACACCGTCTGGATATGGAGATTCTTCCAAGACATCTAGTTCATCCATGTAATGTGACTGGTTAGAAGTGAGCGACGAATCACCTAAAAGAAAAATTTTCAAAATTTTTTTTCAGAAATTTTTCCAAAAAAATTTCACCTTCTTCCCCAACATAATGACTTTGAACGGAGGCAGTACAAGACCCATCAAGATAGTATGGTGGAGACGAACTGAGATAATATGAACGTTGTAGAGTGAACGTTTTGTCATCCATTACGGCATCAATGTCCAGATCATCATAGGAGCCTCTAACGTTGGAAGTATAGGACATCGTTTCTTCGTCTAATTGGACTCCTAAAAAATAAAATTTATGTTTGTTTGTAAACTTAAGTTTGTGAAGTTGTTATTTATTTTCAAGTTGGTGAACTTAAAATTTTCAGTCACTTTGATAAACTTAAGTTTGTTGGCTCAGTAAACTTAAGTTTTCGGTTGGTAACCTAAGTTTCTATCAAGTTGGTAAACTTAAGGTCCACTCAAGTTGGTAAACTTAAGTTTCACTCAAGTTGGTAAACTTAAGTTTCTATCAAGTTGGTAAACTTAAGTTTCTATCAAGTTGGCAAACTTAAGTTTTCGGTTTATTAATTTATTCGCAACTTGGCGAACTTAAGTTTGCGAATTTTCAAGTTTGCGAATTTGATATTAATTATTTTAGAAATCAAAAATCCTCACCATTTTTCTCAAAATAACCACTGTAGCTACTCAGAGTAGAACTTCGAGATGAAGAATTTGTATTCGGAACTTCGACACCATACACTGCCGAAGATGTACAAAATTTTCCATTGAAGTAATTGGATTTTGAATGTTTTTGTTTGGTTGTTGTTGTTTCAACTACAGGAATATCCAAATCGCTTAGATCCATCAAACTATATCCTCCTCGTGGTGAGAAAACAGTATCTGGGATGGATACGTAAGAAGAAGAAATTTGAACTCCGCGGCTGTTACCTTAATTGTTGTGTTGGCCAATTCAAGAGAGAACTTTAAAAAACTTACGAGTTCGGCCGAACGCAATGCTAGAATTTACAGGAGACAATGAAGAAACCGAATCTTAAATTTTTGAATAAAGTTTGAACAATGCAAGGGAAAATATTTAAAAACTTACAGATACTAGGTACATAGCGAGGACGGTATTTTTGCTTTGCCCTTCGTCGACGCTCCTTGTTGTGGTTGACTGCTGCCTTGACAAACAGAGAAGTTGTCGCCGTCCCTCTTCGAATATTCAAAAAGCTCCGACTGATGAAGTGTTTGCACCTTTTGATGAGGGACTGAATATGTCCAGGTTTACGAGGTTTTTTGTACATCATATTAGTCGAAGCAGGTTGTGAGAAATATCAACCAACAATGGATGAGAACAGAAGATTTAAGTAAAAACGTTTTAACTGCTTTTATAGCAAAATTTTTAAGTTTGTCGTAACTGATCCTTTTGTTACTTGTTTTATTTCCAGGTTTTAAACTTAAGTTTGCAAACTTAAATTTTTAAGTTTTGCTCTTAAACTCTAAAGTTTGCTGTCTTAAATTCTTAAGTTTACGGTCTTAAAATTTTAAGTCTACGATTCTAAGTTTGAAGTTTACGGTCTTAACATTTTAGTGCGCGATCTTGACAACCTTTTCAAGTTTGCGAACTTAAATTCTTAAGTTTATATCTTACACTTTAAAGTTTGCTGCCTTCATTTTTTAAAGTTTACGAACTTAAAATTTTAAGTCTATGATTTTTAATTTTAAGTTTACGTGCTTAACTTTTTAGGTGTGCGATCTTAACAACTTTTCAAGTTTGCGATCTTAAGTTTTTAAGTTTTCGATTTTATTCTTTCCATTTTTAATCATTTCTCTCGTCACTTTTTTTCAATTTAATTTTATTAAAAAATAAAAATATAAAATTAGCAATTATTAAAAGACATCATCTCTATGGTTACTAAAAAACAATCTTCTTCATATTGCTCATTATTTTTATTTTTTTAATTTGGATAATGGAAATGAGAGGGAAATTAAACAAAAAAAAGTACATTTATTGAATAAATTTGTTAAAAAAATTTTTTTTCTAAAATTAAATGGCTGTCCAAGCTGAAACTTTAAAAGAAGTTGAAACTTTACAAAAAGAAGAAGTTATCACTCCTCAGGAAGAAAATAAATTTGAAGATAATAATGAAGAATGGCGCCCTTTACATATGCACGAAGTTGTTGCTGTTGCAATGGTGGGGGATAAATTTTAATTAAAAGAAACCTCTGAAAATTTTTTTAAAAATTAGTCCTTTGTTGTAAAAATAAATTTTAATTTGAAAAATAAATATTGTGAGGATTCCCTTCCCAAGTTTCACCCATTTTAAAAGGTATATTATTAAAAGGTATATTATTCTTAAATATGTCAGAGCAAGAACAAACTCGTTTTGAGGTAATTTACATCTAAAATTGCTGCACGTTGCTGAAGGAATATAAATTAACTTATCATAGGGTTCGATGATAGCACATTTGGTTGTGCTCTGTCTGGGCTTATTTCACAGTGTGTTCTCCATCTCCCATCCAATAGATTTTTTCTTATCTCCAATCTAAATCCAATCCAATGGAAAATAACACTATTGTCGCACTACCTCTAAGAGAGTCCTCTTTTAATAGCTTTATCTTCGAGAAGGCTTTTTCGAGGTTCATAGCCCTCTATTCAAAAGAAAATCGAAAAAATTTCTATTTATTTTTCTATAAAATAATTTTTAAAAAGGTCGTCAAAACTTGGTTGCGTCCACGAGACAAAACTAGAGAACGCTTAAAAAAAGAAGCAAATGCTCTTACTAATGAGGTTAATACTTCGCTTGTTTTTGAGCCTATGGTAATTAAAATTAAATATTCCTTTAATTAAAATTAATTTTCAAAGCCTATTACAATGGAACGTTTACGCTTACTTAAAGAAATGGGAAGATCTCCGTCTCAAAGTAGTTTTGCTGCTTTGAGTGAGTTTTTTTGTAAAAATGTAAAATAAGAATATTGAAAAATCTTTGAAATAATTTTCCCCCCTAATTAGTAGTTTATTATTCGAGAAAATTTTTTGCTCATTTTTATAATTTAAAATAGGTATTCACTTCATTTTACTAAAAAAATAAGTAATGAATTAAAAAAATATAAAGCAACTCATAAGATAGACTTATTACTAGACAAGGTAAAACTAAATTTGTGCTGCTTGTTGCCAGATAAGGTTATTGGATCCGGATTCGAAAAAAGGCCGGATATCGGATCCGGATATCATAGAATTTCCAACTATCCGACAACCTTATTGCCATATGCTCCATTATACCACGCACCTCCTTCATACAGCTATTTTCGCCCTGCCTTTGTCTTTCGCCTTTTAAAATCAGTTTCAGTTTTGGCACACCCCCTGACACCGCCATTAATATCAACTTTCTAATATTTGTTGTTCACAAGCGAAGGAGTTAGCTTAAGGATACCGCTCTATCTATTAGTGATATTCGGGTATCCCGTCTCCCGAGGTCATTTCCCGACCCGACTCCCGTTTCCGGGGCGTTTTCTTCTCCCAAACATCACTACTACATATCATTGATATGTCTTGTCATAAGATATCTTTTTCACCACCAAGGGTCCGATAATGAGATCTGACTGTTAAAAATATTTTTTAATTTTAAGAAGCAAAAATATCAACAGCAAGTAATCCAACTCAACTTCCTCTTGTTTTACAAGTCGAAAATAAAAATAACAAAGAAGAAAATACTGTAGAAAATGAAGAAAACGGAACGCCAGGAGAACAAGATTTGTTAAATGCTGGGAAGAGTAATGGAAGTATTTTAAGGGAAAATAGGCAAGAAAAACTTTAAAAAATTTTTCTTAATTTTTGTGGACTACCCAAGAACAAGGGGTCATAGGTTCTGATTCGGGAAGGATATGGATATACAAGGATACCATATTTCTTCTAATAGTGCGACCGGGCGGTTTATTTTTCAACCTTCCTCTAGTGGGTCGGTTTATTAGAAGGGGTCGATCTAATAGAGAGAGTAGTCGGTCTAATAGATAGAGAGAGAAGAAATACGTTATATACTGGAAACCTTCGTTTAGTTCATTACAAGTATCCGAAAACACGGACATAAACATTTCCTGGTCAATTATGCCTTTTGACCATTTTGTCCAAAAGGAATGAAAAGAAAATTTAAGGGTCAAAAATAATTTTAAAAATTTTCTAGAACTGAACAGAACGAGCTAGAAAATCTAACGAATATTGTAGATCCAGAAAGAGGATTAATTGAAGTTTGCTTGGAAAGGAATACAATTTTAATGTTGATAATGAAGTGGATTAAAACAATCAAAAATAAATTAAGGTGAGTGTATTATAGGTCAAGGAAGGTGAGCTAGAACTTAAGCTTATCTGTTCCCTTGTCCGCAAATGTCGTCAGCATGATCACACAAGTCTTTCAAATTAGCAATAGATTTTTGAGTTAGGGTGGGGTAACTAAAATAGGGGGTATTTCCCAATTTATCAATCCAATCAAAAAAGAAACAAACACAAATACAACAATTTATCTACACAAAAATACAATTAAATACAACAATTCAAATACAATACAAACAACAAGAAATATACAATACATACAATGAGAACAATATATGGTGACACAAATTTATCACAACCAATCCATCTCTTTCGGGTTATTATTCGGTTCCGACGGCGGAATCCACCTCTCATCAACCTCCTGCTCCTCCTCAGACATTGGAACCTCAACACCGTCCACAGCGCCTCTATTCGCCGCCTTTATCTCCGCCAATCTCTCCTGCTCCTCAATTGTCGGGTTCTCCTCGATTGTCCACTCCTCAGGCTTCTCAATGATGATCCTCTCGACCTCGACGATCTTCTCGATGACCTTTGGCTGCTCGTATTCAATCGCCGTCCTTGTCCCGTCGTTCAAGGTGAACGTCGCCGCAATGTTCTTGTTCTGAAAATCAAAAAATTGGGTTAGGTTGAGATTCAGAGAGAAAAAATGTTTAAAATTTCACCTTTTTCCACTCCTCGAAAGACCCGACAGCTGCAAGTCCCTTCTTTTTCAGTTCCGGCGTGTATTCCCGCTCGAGGAGTTCTTTTTCCTTCTGCTTCTCGAACTGATCCACAAGGTACTGCAGCTTGTCCATGGCCTTTTTCTTCTCCACTCTCTTCCAGATTGCAGCGATCAGGTCGTCGACTGAAGACAGCTCCACCGCAGTCTTAGTTTCGCTCTCCTTTCTCTGAAAAAATGAGAGAAATTTAAGTTTGATTTATAAAGAATGGAATTTTAAACTCACATTATTTTTCCATGCAGCAAATGTCCCGACGGCCTTTTTGCCTTTGGTCTTCTCCTCAGCCTTGTACAATGCAAGCAGACGTTCTTCTTCTGCACTTTCGGCGTCCTGCTTCCCTCCCTTTTTCTTATCCTTTCCTGCTTTCTCCCTCATCAAGAGCCAGACCAAAACTGCAATGACGATCCCGACAATGAGGCCAACAGCAATGCCAATTGCAATGTAGAGACCTCCGCCACACTCCTCCTGTTGCTGTGGACTCGTTGCTGTTCGAGAAGTTGTTCTGATGGAAGAGTACTTTGTAGCTGCTGTAGTTGTCAAAGAAGAAGTGGAGAAGTCTGTTGTCGTTTCAGGCGGCTCTGTTGTTGGAGCTCCTGTGGTCGCTGCAGTAGTCGTCGTAGTCGGTGGCGTTGTTGTTGCAGAGGTGTTGACAACGAGCAGGCTGTAGTCGGTTGTAGCCTGAATAAGTGAAATGGGTGAAAAGTTATACAAAAAGAGCTCCATAAATGTAAAAAATCGAAAACTCACGAATCTGACGAAGAGTTCGCAATCCGGTCCGTTTGGATGTCCGCCGATTTTACCACCATCAGTGTACACAAAAGTCGCATTTTGTCGAAGCAGGCTGAAGACGAGCAGTCGTTTGTCAATGAGCTCCTCCCCATCATTCGTGATCGTCCATGTTTCGGGGTTTGCGATTGGAGTGGCCTTTGGAACACAAGCAGCCTTTTTAGCAGCGTTGAAGTGCTCTTCTTCCGTGAAGTTCATCGTGAACGCGCTCGCAGAATTTATTGTCAGCTCGAAGGTCAGGTTAGATCGTTGTTCATCCATGGGCTGGGATTGAGTCACCCTCTGGTCCACCATTTCCCCAACTGAAAAACATTTTAAAATAAGAATATTAAAAAATAAACAAGATCCTCACCTAGATGTGTAAAAGCGTACGCTTGTCCCATAGCCCTGCTCCATGAGACTTCAAGAGATGTCCACGGCATGCACTTGCTCATCATACGATCACAAGTTGTGTTCACACTGCACGCTGTGTCATTTCTGTGCTGGCCATTGTTGAGCTTTTCGATGTCTTTGTTGTTCACACTGTAGACGAAAGGTAGGCTGAAAAATTTGAGAGTAAATTTATTATACTTGGTCGAAAGAAATGTAAAACTTACATATTATTACGACTTTTGTCGAAATTGAGATTATCGTCAAGGCATTTGTGAAGTCTTCCTCCATGGCCTCTCACTCCGGTCGTGAACTTGATGGTGTTGCTGTTTGACTCGCTCTTGCTGAGAAGATCCACAGTGCATCCATTACTACCATAGTTGTACCGAAGCTCGCTGAAACAAAATAAAATATTAGTTACACAACTAGCCTTTAAGAAGAATTTAATAAAGTCCTCACATGTAGTCGTCTTCGATTGTAACATCGCAGGCGTCCGGATACAGCTTCCTGAAGTTACAATCAGCAAGGTCGTTGAAGTTTGCCCTGTTGGCAATTACGGTGTTGTTGTCGAGCGTCACTTGGTTGTTTCCATCCTTTGCGTGCCTGCCAAGTCCGACGATTTCGCTTTTGTCCTGTCCAGGAACTGCAAGTGCGGCGATGGTGAGCAGCAGCAGCAGAGAGCACAGCGTTGACGACTTCCTGGTCCAAAGTCCGGTGTTGAGGTCCATTGGAAGACGGCAGAGCATGAAGAGTGTTGTAGACGATGTAGACGTTTGAAGAGATGTGATGATTGTTTTGTAGGGTCGGTAGGAATGAATAAAATGTCGAGGCTTTTATAGTAAATTTGGATGTACCTTTAATTGGGAATATTGCCTAGATAGCTTCTGTAGCCAACCAAACTTTAAAAAAAACTTATCCTAAATTGAGAATGTATTTAAATTGAGAGCTATGAGGTCCAGAAGTATGAGTTAAGAATAAGTTTAGCCTTCAGGCAGGATTCGAACCTCTGACAACGCTGATATTGCTCGCTTTGCCTTGCTCACACCTATGCAACAACTTCACCTTTTTTGGACTTTCGCCTTACGTCTTTCGCTTTTTTGAAATGACTTTAGCCTTTAGTTTTTTAAAATCCGTTGGCACATCCCTGCTATACAGGTGTTCTAGCACTGAGTTACTGGCCGACGATTAATGTACATTTCTTCTCCTTATAAAGATTATTATTCTACATTCTTATACAAAAATAATTTTAAAAAAAAATTCATTTAACAGTTCAATATCCACAACCTCAATAAATCCAAACGGAACATTTTATGCTTGTTGGACATTTTTAATTTATTTAGTATTTTTATACAACGCTTTTGTTTGTGTTTTATTTGTTTTTGATGATACTAGAGAAGGGAGCCCTTTATTTATTTTTTGGATTCTATTAAATGGTTGGTTGGGGAATAATTTTAATTTTTAATTTAAAATTATTTTTAATTAAAGGTTTGAGTGATTTTATTAATTTATTTGATTTATTAATGAATTCAAGATTGTGTTAGTTTAACTTTTAATTTTGTTTCTGGGGTACAGTCGATTACTCCGATTCTAGTACACCTAAACCCTTACACAAGGTACAACGTAACTTTAAAAAAATCACAAGATATAGAAAATTACATGATTACTGACAGGGCTGTGCGCCAAAATTTTCGCATGGCGCTCCAAACGCCAATTTTTAAAATTCTTAAAACACGCCAAACGCCAGAACGCCAAAATCGGCCAAAAATGGACGCAAAACGCCACGCCAAAACGCCATGGCGCACAGCCCTGATTCCTGGGGCCGATTTCAATTGTCCACAGATTCTGTATTAATTTACTAGATCTACCGATATTTCGACTGTACTACATATATCCATAAATTTTATATAAATAAAAATTTAATCTTGCTAAAGCTTATATTGACGATGGAATGCATGTAACTGACTTGAAACGTTTAGCTAAAAAATATTTTCATAGGTAGATAAACAAAGATTTTTAAATTAAAAAATTTTTTAAAGTTTCCATTTTCTAATGGATATGCTTGCTCTACTTCCTTTTGATTTAATTTTATTGGTAAATAAAGGAATTTCACTTTCTCGATTTAATAGATTAGCAAAATGCTATAGAGTATGGCAATTTGTACAGGTAAATAAATAATGCAAAGATTCTTAAATATGTTTTTAAGTTTGTAAAATGCAAAAATTCCGATTTTTAAATTCTGAAGGGAATAATTACAAAACTTAAAATTCTCAAACTTAAGTTCCTAAAAAGAATTCTGATTTATTTTCCTTCAAACTTGTAACGGTAAAATTCTGATTTTTAAATTCTGACGCTCAGAATTATAAAATCTTAAGTTTCAGATTGTATTAATTTAATTCTGAAATTTAAGTGCCTAAAAATTCTGATTTTTAATTTCATAAACTTAAGTTTCTGAAATTTAAATATCAGAATTTTCTTTAATTTCAGAAACTTAAGTTTAAGTTTCTAACTTAAGTTTTTGAATTAATTAAAATTCTATTTATAAGCTTAAACTTGAAACTTTAAAATTCTGATTTTTAAATTCTGACATTCAGTATTATAAAACTTAAGTTTCTGAAAGTTAATTTTGTAAAATAAATTCTGATTCTTAATTTCAGAACCTTAATTTCTCAAACTTAAGTTCCCAAAAAGAATTCTGATTTTTATTTCAGAAACTTAAGTTTCTAGAAATAATTAAAATTCTGATTGATAAATTTTTAAAGGTATAACCGAAATTCTGATTTTTGTCTAATTTAAAATAAACCCACAATAATTTCTCTAGAAAAAAATTTTTCTCAAAGATGACAAATGTACGAACTAATTATCCAAATGCTTTTCGTATTCTCCACATAGTTGTTGTGTGTGTTGTTTTATTTCATTGGAATGCTGCTCTTTATTTTAAAATTTCTTTAATTTATGGAATTTTTAGTAAGAGTTTTTTCTATAAAATTAAAAAAATATTTTTAAGCAACCGATGCTTCTGCTTGGGAATTTAATTACTTAAAAAATCAGGTGAAATTTCAAAAAAAATAAAAAATTAATTGTTAAAGGATGTATGGTGGGTACGTTGTGGTCAAATGTTATGGGCAGAAATACCAGAAGGGCACTGTTTTTTTAATGAAAGTGGTTTGGGTGATCCCGATATTGATAGAGTTAATTATCTAAATGAGATGGTTAAATATTGGGAAAATCGGTGAATTAATTTTTAAAAATTAAAAATATTTTTTTAAATTAATTTTAAAAGTGTTTTCCTAGAGAAAAGCTTAGTTGATGAAATTCTGAAATAAATTCTGATTTTATAAATTCTGAAATTCAATAAACTTAAACTTAAGATTAAATTCTGATTGTAAAACTTAATAAAATAACAAACAAAAATTCTGAAAAAAAAAATAATAAAATTCTGATTTTAATACCCAAAACTTAAGTTTATGAAAATTCTGATACTTAAAACTTTGTAGCTTAAAACTAAATTCTGATTAGTGAAACTTAAAATATTAACTAACAGAAATTATGATTTTAATATCATAAACTTAAGTTTATAAAAATTCTGATTTATAACTCTCACCTAAATTTTTGTAACTTAAGTTTCTTACCTTATGTTTTTAAAAAAAATTAATAAATTTATATTCTTTAACAGTTCAATGCTTGTTTCATTCAGCAACTTTAGTAAACAATATAGCCTAAGTTTTTATTGGTCATCATTAACATTAACTACTTCTGGACAACAACCTTATCCTACAGCAGCAATGCATAATTCTTTAGAAATTTTTGATACAATTGTGGGGGTTTTAGTTTTTGCTGTTATTGTGGGAAGTGTGGGAAATGTTGTAAGTGGAATATAATTATTTTTAAGTTTGTAAACTTGAGAGTATAAATGTATAAAAATTTTGATCCCTGAAAATTCTGAAACTTAAAGTTCTGATTTTAAAATTCTGATAATCTAAAATTCTGAAATATAAATTCTGATTCATAAAGAATTCTGATTTTTATTTTTAGAAATTCTGAAAATTCTGATCCTTAAGACTATGAAATTTTAAATTCTGATTTTTAAAATTTTGAAACTCAAAATTCTGATTTTTAAAAAAATATAAAATAAATTAAAAAATAAGGTAAGCACAATGAATATAGGACGAGCAGAAATACAACAATTAAATGATGGAATTAAATTCTATATGAAATATAGGTACAAATAAATATATTTTTTAAATTTCAAATTTACCAGAAATGTATCAGCTACAATGCAAAAAAGAGTTTTAGATTGTATTAATTATATTCAGAGACATGCACAAATACAGGACGAAGGCGTAAGAAATTACAATAAAATTCTGATCCTTAAATTCTGAAATTTATAATTATAAAACTTAAAATTCTGAAACTTAAGTTTCTGATGTATTCTGGTTTTTATTTAATTCTAAAACTTAAGTTCCTAAATAAATTCTGATTTTAATTCCAGAAACTTAAGTTTATAAAAAAATAAAATATTCTGATAAAAATTCTGAAAAAATTCTGACAGAAAATTCTGATTAAAAATTCTGAAACTTAAGTTTCTGATATTTATTTAAATCTGAAACTTAGTTCCTAAAGTAAATTCTGATTTTTAGTTTCAGAAACTTAAGTTTATAAAAATAAAATATTCTGACAAAAAATTCTGGTAAAATATTCTGATTTATAACTCAAGCTTTTAAACATAAAAAATCTGATACTTAAATCTTAAACTTAAATTCTGATATTATTTTTAAGGCCGTTCTAGGAACAATTCCCCCACGTTTAAGAGGAGAATTAGCCGTTCATTTACATTTGGTAATAAAAAATCCAAAATAAAAATTATAAAAAATATTTTTAAAGGAAAATCTTAGACGTATAGAGCTTTTCACAGAATGTGAGCCTTCTCTTCTATACGAGCTTGTTATTCGTTTTACAATGAAAATGGTTAGGAAGGGGAATTTTTTAATTAAAAAAATATTTTATAGTTTGCTCCGAACGATTTTCTATGTAGGAGTGGGGATTTGGCAAAGGTAATATATTCGGATATATTCATTTTATACCTATATGCACTTTAAATTTAAAATTCTGAAACTAAAATTCTGATATTAAATTTTGAATTTAAATTCTGATTTATAAATTCTGGTACTTAAAATTCTGATTCTCAAAAATTCTGAAATTAAAATTCTGTTTCTGATACTTAAGAATAATAAATTAAAAATTCTGATATGTTAAATTCATAAACTTGAGATTCTGATGATACACAAGACTATAAACTTTAAGATCATAAATTCAAAAAATATAAATTCTGATAATTCTCCGACTTAAAAATAAAACAAGAACATACTTATTTCTTAAGATATGTACATTTTCAATTTTAAACAGGACATGTTTGTATTAAAAAGGGGAACACTTGACATTTTGTCTGATAATGGCGAGCACTATTCTAGATTAACCCAAGGAGGGATATTTGGTGAAATGGCTATATTAAAGCCTTTGGGGCCGTTGGGGAAGTTGCTAGCTAGGAGACGGTAATTTCCTCAAATTTTAAAAACACCAAAAACCTTTCCCTAAAAAGTTATTCTCTCCGTTCTGTTGGGTATTCAGAGGTTTATTTACTCTCTCAAGAGGATGCCTTAGATGTATTTTCGGATTATCCTGGTAAATTTTAAATTCTTAAAAATAATTTAAAAAAATATTTTTTTGTAAAGAACAAAGAAATGAGCTGATTAGAAAAGGTAAAAATAAATTTTAAAAATTCCAAAAATTTTAAAAGAAAAATTATTTTTAATAAAGCAACCTCCCTATTACTCGAAAACAACGAAATTTGCTTGGAGGATTTAGTTGAAAAAACAAAATTTAATCCGTTTGAGTTAAGCGGAACGGAAAGTGTTAATGTATAAAATAAATAAATTTTTATATTAATTTTGGAACTTATTTTTAAGGAAATATTTCAATTACTCAAAGAAACATTGGATAAACTAGATAAGGAATTAGACACAGTTTATGTCAAGTTTGCGGTAAATATTACTTTATTTTTAAGTGGTGGAATTAAAATTAAGACAAATGGGATTGTAAACTTAAAACTTAAGTTTAAACTTAAATTAATTAAACATGAAATTATAATTTAAGCTCGGTAACTAATATTTTTTAAATTTAATATTTTTTTACTTAAGATGCTGATATATAAAATTATAATAAACTTAAGTTCAGGAACTTAAGTTTATTAAACTTAAGATTCTGGTATTATTAAATTAAAATTCTGAAACTTAAAAACTTAAAATTCTGATATATAAAATTATAATAAACTTAAGTTCAGGAACTTAAGTTTATTAAACTTAAGATTCTGGTATTATTAAATTAAAATTCTGAAACTTAAAAACTTAAAATTCTGATAAATAAAATTATAATAAACTTAAGTTCAGGAACTTAAGTTTATTAAACTTAAGATTCTGGTATTATTAAATTAAAATTCTGAAACTTAAAAACTTAAAATTCTGATAAATAAAATTATAATAAACTTAAGTTCAGGAACTTAAGTTTATTAAACTTAAGATTCTGGTATTATTAAATTAAAATTCTGAAACTTAAAAACTTAAAATTCTGATATATAAAATTATAATAAACTTAAGTTCAGGAACTTAAGTTTATTAAACTTAAGATTCTGGTATTATTAAATTGAAATTCTGAAACTTAAAAACTTAAAATTCTGATATATAAAATTATAATAAACTTAAGTTCAGGAACTTAAGTTTATTAAACTTAAGATTCTGGTATTATTAAATTAAAATTCTGAAACTTAAAAACTTAAAATTCTGATATATAAAATTATAATAAACTTAAGTTCAGGAACTTAAGTTTATTACACCCAAGTTTCTGGTATTTTTAAGTTAAAATTCTGAAACTTAAACTTAAGATTCTGATAATTAAGGTTTTAATAATTAAATTCCTTAAGTTTTTGTTAAATTAAGATTCAAATTTTAATTCAATTCCCTTTTAATTTTAATTTTAGGGTAGCAGTTCATCCTTAAAAAAGCAGGTGACAAAACTAGAAGGTTTATATCTCGAGAACCGTCAGTTACTTAAAAATACTTTTATGAGAACAACGAAGAAGTCTAAACAGAATTTTAAACAAATTTAATATTTAAAAAATTTTTTTAATTTTTATTTATTTATTTTTATTTTATTTTTAACATTTTTCCTCCAGACAATGTAAAAAAGACCAATTGTTAATATTATAAAAATATTTTTAAATAAAAATTCGATTAATATTTTTTAATGTTTATTAGTTTTGTTTGTCCTACAAACGTTCTCCCCAAAGATTTACACACACAAATATTAAATGGAATGTCAAATGATTGCAGCAAACTGAGTAATACACAACACGACTATTTTTAGATAAAAAAATTTTTTGTAGATTTTTTCAATTTTTTTTATAAATTTGTGTTTTGAGTAAAGATGGGGGTAAATTTATTTATTTTTTAAAGACACGGGTTATAAGGAAATTCGAATTTAAAGAGATATTTTATTTAAGAGCGTAGTTAGGCATTATCTCTCAAAAACTGAAGGAATATGTTTACAAATGAAGCCCTCTGAAGCATTTCCTGGTGCTTCAGAGGATGTCAGTTTCCTGGTTGATAAACCATCTACCGAAGAAGATCGTTTCTGTCCCTTTCCCTCAAAAATATCAGCGTATATAGGAGTATATTGAAGAAAGGAGATGATTACATCTACATAAACAACTTTATCCCTTTACTGCTTCACTCCACCGTCCTCTATTTTAATTAGGAATACCCCCCCCCTCTTCCTCCCCTCACCAAAATTTCTTTTGAAGCTTGAAAAGCCCCTATATACCAGCCAATTGAAATTTAATTTCTATTTTTTAAAAATTTATTTTTTTAATTTTTATGTGTGCTCATTTAAACTCTCGAATTTGGACAAACTATCTTTCCTTTTAATAAATTTAATTTTCTTTGAGAGTTCCTTACGAAATTTATTTTTATTAAAACACATGAAGATTAAATGAACTAAAATAAAAAAAAAGAAAAACGGTCTGCTGACAGGTCCAAAAAATATTTTTTTATTTTTTCTGGTTGTCGGTCAGTCATCTGCCACATTCAACCTTTTTTGAAAGGGATGTCATATGAGTAGAAAAAGTAAAAGAGAGGGAATTTCTCTAAGGAATTTAAAAATACCCCATTTATTTTATCTTCATTCATTTTTTATTTTTATGTGCTCATTAACATTTGCGGACAGAAATTTGCGGACATTAAAGAATTTTTTCTTATGTTCTAATATAGAAAGTTGGGAGCTAATACGGGTTAGTCTGGAATGCCATAATTAAATGTAAAGTTTTGGAAGAGTTTTGGAAGACATGACTTGAGAAGGAGTTTAGCAAAAGTTTAGCGACCTCCTTTCAGTTGTAAGGCGCTTTCGCTCACCGCATACAGGAGCTACCGGGGCAACAACTAATGCATCGACATAATATAGGTATTCAGAAGATACCATAGAAGAGTCAAGTGATGTTTTTATTGTATACAACTTACTTTAGTCTAAAATTTTACGCACTAAGGGCGTAAAATTTTAGCGAGATTCAACTAACTTTTAATAATCCACAAAAATCTGAATTAGGTAGATGTCCGCAAATTTATATCCGCAAAACACAATACACCAATTTTATTTTTCAAATAATTTTTTCCCCATTTTCCCCCTTTTCCGGTTGTTATATTTAAATAGGAAAGAATTTTATTTTAGTCAGAAGACACATTTTCTCTATACCAAAAATGCAAAAAGTAATTAGCCTTTTTTGGGGAGGGGCATTTCAAGAGTATGATGTAAAAATACTACAAAAATAACTAAAAAGACCAAAAATTGGTTTTTAAAAAAATTCTATAAATATTTGATTAATGTGTAGTTGAAATTGTTTGTTTAATAATTTGTTGTTTATTCTAGACATTTTACATAAAATTTTTTTCTTATTTTTAACATTTTCTGTCTCAAATAATATTTATTAATTACTAGCTGATTAAGTGAGAAATAGGTAGTCTATTTAGTGAAAGAAAATAATAAATCAGAATTAAAAATTCTGATTAAAAAAATAGACGAGAGAGAATCTTTAAAAATAAATCAGAATTTTAAAATCAGAACTAAAAAAACCTGAATTAAAATCAGAATTAAAAGACCAGAATCAAAAAATCAGAATTTTTAAAATCAGAATTAAATAACAGAATTTTTAAATTAAAAATCAGAATTCAATACCAGAATCAAAAAATCAGAATTTTCAAATTCTGTTCTGATTTCAAACAAAATTCATTAAAATCAGAATTTCTGATTTTTTAATTTTTAATTCTGATTTTAAATACCAACCAAAATTATAATAAATATTCTGAATTCTGATAATAAAAACAATAATTCTGATTAAACCAGAAACCAGATATTTGTGTTTTAAAACTTAATAATTCAGTCAATATTCTACCACTTTTTTTTGTTTGTTAAAAAATAAATAATCTTTGTCTGAAACCTTAAATTCAATATTATTTTCCACATTTAATCCTCTAAAAAATATTTTTTTCAAAAGTATTAAATAAATATATCCATTATAATTTACACACATTTTCAACCTAAATAAAATGGTTGAATGATTTTTCTTTTTTTTTGAAGAAATATTTTTTTGAATAAAAAAAAATATTTTTATAATTTTTAACTATTAAATGACACACAAAATAAATATTTATTTTGGTTGGTTATTTTTTGAAATTTAATCCAAACAATAAATTAAATCACCCCTAAAAACTTCTATATAGACACCAACACTCATTAACACTTTTCTCTATCTTCTCCCTCTATTTTTTAAAATTAAATAAATAAATAATTTTTTACAATTTTTCTAAGCTCTAAAATGTTAAAAATGTTAAAAAAATATTAAAATAAGAAAAAATAAAAATAAAAAAATTATTTTTATAAGGGTATAATAATTTAAGGAATTTATTGTTGGGTTAAAAATATTAGTCAAAACACAGTAATGTTTTTTTTTGACAAATAATTTTATGAAACATTTATTCTGTCGAAAAAATATTTTTTTTATTTTAGAAGGGAGGAAAAATCACTTAAAATTTATATTTTATTTTCCACCTTCCAAAAAATTTATTTTTTTTTCCACCTTTCAATTTAAAAATACACATATGTAGCCTAAGTTTGAGACAGGAATTCTGGTTGAGAAAAAAGTCGAGGGTTCGGTTATCCCAATCATTTCCCTTGTCCGCAATCTTCGATTCCTACCAACTCCGATAAAAAAAATTTTTTCTTATATTTTTAAAAATAAGGGTGATTTATTGGGCCGAGTTGAATGATTCATTTTTAGTTCATTTTTTGGCCAATTTAAAAATTCCTATTTTTAGTTTAGACAAAAAAGATTAGGTTACACAAATTCCAGACATATCACAAGAAACAATTTAAGAAAAAAATTTTTTTAATTTGGGTATAAATAGCTGAATCAAATACATATAAAAATATCATCGTTAACAGCCCAAAATAACGGCCCAAATACCCCCCCCCCCCCCTCTTTAACGGCCTAAAATATTTTTTTTTAATTTTTCCCTCTTAATTTTCTCTCTTAAAAAATTAAATTTTTAATATACGTATAGGGTGACAAGAAAATTCTAGGACACTTTAATTTCGCTATAACTTTTTTTCTCATTAACATCTTTTAATGGTTTTATATTCATTTTGTAGTCCAAACAATTCTCTTTCAGGTGGGCTAAGCAAGATTGCTTTCCCCTTCTAATTTTTTTTCTCATTTAAAATTAAATTTAATATACGTATTAGTGATGTTCGGGTATCCCGACTCCCGACACCCGACTCGGGAAATTTCCCGAGTTTTTGGCCTCCCGATCCCGACCCCGACTCCCGATGTCAATTCCCGACTAAGTCGGGAAATTTTTACACCCCTAAGAATGGCTTTTTCTGATAAAATTTTATTTTTAAACTGAAAAAAATAAAAAAAAGGGAAAGGGAAAATAAAAAAAGAAAAAGGAAAAGGAGAAAAATATTTAAATTTTTATTCCAAAAGTCTTTCGTTGAGCGATGGTTGAGTGGTTAGGTTGATGACTTCACGCTCAATGTGATATTTTATGGGGATGGGTTCGAATCCGGGGTTGGGAAATGTGAGTTAAATAATTTTTCTTTTCCAAAAATAAATATTTTTAACATTGATTTTAATTTTTAAATTGTGAATTTATTTTTTTAATACTAGTAAACTTGAGAAAACTGGAAAAATTAATATAGTCATGAATTTTCGAAAAATTTTGCCTGCGGCGCAGACAAATGATGTGAGATTAAGAGGTCTTTAAAATTTAATTAGCCAATTTCAGCAATACCCTCCTCTTAAAAAACCCTTTTCTTCCATTATATTCAATGCTCCTTAATCACTTCTAATCGCTCTATATCCTTCCATGGATGCAATATTTTAATACCAGAGACGAGGTAATTTTGGGAATTTAGAATAATTTTAGAATAATTTTGGATAATTTTTTTGCGATAATTTTGGGAATTTAGAATGCTTTTTTTGCCAAGCGGCCAAAATGGATGAAATGTGGCTTCTTGACCTCCATGATTATCAAGATTTCTGCCTGCGGCGTTGAAAATTAATTAAGAAATGTTGAAAATTAATTAAGGGAATAGAGAGAGAGAGAGAGCGGCGCAAAAATGGAACAATTCTGGCTTTCTAACCTTCAAAAATTCTTAAAATTCACGCCTGCAACGATAAAATCAGAATTTTTGGCGCCGAAGGCGCCAAAAATTTTTTAAATTTTTTTAATTGAAAATTCCCGACTCCCGATCCCGACTCCCGAGGTCATTTCCCGACCCGACTCCCGTTTCCCGATTCCCGAGTTTTTTCTTCTCCCGAACATCACTAATACGTATATAATTTTAAAAAGTCTACTCGTTTAAACAAGAAAAAAAATAAAATAAAATTTATTTTTAGAAAAAAAATATTTAGGAAAATTCAGCTGATCAAATATTAACTAGTAGTTAAATTTTAAAAAAAGAATAAAAAAATATATATTTATTTTAAGTAGTTTTTTTTCTCATTTTATGTGTCACAGGTTAAAAATTGAGAAAGAAAATTTTATAAAAATGATATTTGCAACCACCAAAGTATTTATTTTAAAATATTCTTTCTCCGTTCTTTTCAACGCCTACTCAATCACTGATTTTTATTTATTTATATTCTTTTTAGTTTAAGCTAAAGAGCAATCAGTATGTAGTGATTTTAAAAAATCAACCATTCTTGGCTAAAAAAATTATTTTTAAAAAATCCAAAGCTAAGAATCGGGACCATGTATAAGAGCAAGGGTTGGTTTCTGATCCGTAAGAGAGAACTTTATGGGGAACGAGGATGTCAGGGAATGACAGTCGGGGATGACCTAAAAATCATAGTTGGGAGGGAAATCGGTGTGGGATAGAGGTGGGTCGGAACAGTCAGAGGTGTCGGAAATCGGAACTGTCGGAAATCGGAAATGGCTCAAAAGTCGGAACTCGGAAATCGGAAATCAAAATTTTTTTTCGGAAATCGGAAATCGGAAGGAAAAAAACGCCGGAAATCGGAAATCGGAAGGCGGAAATCGGAAATAAAATTTTTATTTTCATACTAAAATAATATTTAAAATTGTAAGGTGGCAAATTATGGGCCTTCTTGAGTGTAATTCGAGGGTGCTAAAGTTTTTAAGAGCCGCACAATTATCGAAGACTCAATCCCTCGATATCACACACAGATCCCTCGTTATTACCCCTTGAATTCACACGATATATCTCAAAGTCCACCTTAATCCATCCTAATCCTCCGATATACCATTCAACTTCCATTTACAGCGCCGCAGGCAAAATTTTTGGGATTTTTGGGAGCCTTAAGCCAAAAATCTTCCATTTTTTGCGCCGCAGGCGAAAATTTTGAGAATTTTGGAAGGCTGGAAGCCAGATTTCTTTCTTTTCTTGCGCCGCAGGCGAAAATTTTGAAAATTTTGGTAAATCGTTCGTCGGAAATTTGCTTCAAAAATTGTCGGAAATCGGAAATTTTTCCAAAATTTCGGAAATCGGAAATCGGAAGGAAAAAAACGTCGGAAATCGGAAGTCGGAAATCGGAATTCCGACCCACCTCTGGTGTGGGAGACCAACTCTAATATGGGCTGTCAACAACTTTGGGTTTTTAAAATTTTAAAACCGTCGGGAAGATCGTGGAGAAGAAAAATATTTTTTTGGAATTATTCGATCTTTTGGAATCGGTTAGGACGTGAATAGAAAATCCCTGAACTTATAAGTTATAACTGATCTTTGCAATAAAAAACTTTTTTTACACACAACCCTTTTTCCCAAGATTGAAATTACAAAAACACTACGGCCTCCCCTATCATTTACTCGCCCCCGCCTGTATATTTTTAAAATAAAGTTTTACTTTCTTGATTTCAAAATAGAAAAAAGAATGCTTTATTCTTTTCCTTTTCTCTGTCATTTTATAGTAGATCCAGGCAGCTTGGGTAGCTAGTAGCTGGACAGATTTTTTATCTAAGCTATTTATCATTGTAGGCCTTTTTCTAACAGAAAAATAGAGGGGGATTTGCCCCGTTCACTTTTTTAAACGATCAGGACGTGAATAACAAATGCCCTGGATTTATAAGAAAAAAGGGGGAGAAAAGAGAAAATAGGAGAAAAAATAACCAGCTGACAGGAGGAACATTTACCTTGTACTAGTGATGTTCGGGTATCCCGACTCCCGACACCCGACTCGGGAAATTTCCCGAGTTTTTGGCCTCCCGATCCCGACCCCGACTCCCGATATCAATTCCCGACTAAGTCGGGAAATTTTTACACCCCTAAGAATGGCTTTTTCTGATAAAATTTTATTTTTGAAGGGAAAAAATAAAGAGAAAAAATAAAAAAAGGGAAAATAAAATATTTAATTTTTTTCCCTGACAACTATTGTTGAGAGGTGGTCGAGTGGTTAAGTTGAGTGCCTAAGTTACTTTGATTGGTCTAGGTTCGAATCCGGGTTTGGAGTATTTTATTTAAATAATTTTTCCATCCAAAAATAAATGGTTTTTAACATTTATTTTGATATTAAAATTTTACAATTATTTTTTTCTATATTATAAACGTCAAAAAACTGTAGAAAAATTAATTTAGTCATGAATTTTCAAAAATTTTCGCCTGCGGCGCAGAAAATCGAAGAAATCATTACAAATTTTTCTAAATTTTGCTTGCAGCGCAGAAAATAAAGAATATCAGAGCTCTTAGCCTTGCAAAATTCTCAAAATTTTCGCCTGCGGCGCTGACAAAGGAGAGTACCTCAGGTGTCGGCGGGACTTCGGGATGAAATTTGGTAGATAGATCATACCCTTCTATAGTCATACCCAGCTTAGTTTCCGCTAAATGGTACCGTGGGCCAAGTTATAAGCCCCCAAATTTTAGGATCTCCCCATATAAACACTTTCTATTCCTTTAGAAATGTATTCGTCGGTGGTTCAGTGGTAACGTTCTCGCATTGAATTTTTTCGCCCAGGTTCGAATCCTGATTGGTAAAATTAATTTGTTTTAACATAATTTTCGCTTTTTTTTTGAAAATTTATTTTTAAAATTTTTAAAAAATTTTCTAAATTTTTTTGCAACTTTTTTAAATTTTTTTAAAATATTTATTCCTTGCCTTTTAAAGTCCTCGACTTATTCATTTCTTGTGGTCCTTCAAAATGTGTTTTCAAAAAATTTTAAAAAAGTTTCAAAAAAATTTAGAAAATTTTTTAAAAATTTTAAAATCAAAATTTTCAAAAGAGAAGCGAAAATTATGCTAAAAAAATTAATTTCTCAAATAAGGATTCGAACCTGGGGAAAAAATTAAATTCAAGAACGCTACCACTGCACCACTGATGAACACAATAGTAAATAAAAAGAAAATGTTTATATGTAGAAAAGAAAACAGTGGTGGATCCTAAAATTTTGGGGCCTTATAACTCGGCCCACGGTACCATTTAGCGGAAATGATGAAAATTTCGCAACTAAAGTAGGGTATGATCTATCTATTTACCAAATTTCATCCCGAAGTCCCGCCGACACCTCAGGCACTCTCCTTTGTGAGGGAGGAAAAATTTGTCTTCTTGGTCTTCCAAATTTAAAAAATTTTCGCCTGCGGCGCAGAAAAAGGATGAATCTAGCTCCTTGTCTTTCCAATTCTCAAAATTTTCGCCCCCGGCGTTGAAAATGGAAGAAATTTTACAGCTTGGCCTTCAAAAATTCTCAAAAATTTCGCCTGCGGCGCTAATAAGGAAGATGTCTGGCCTCTTGACCTTCCAAAATTCTCATAATTTTCCCTTGCAATGCAAAAAACCGGAATTTTTGGCGCCGAAGGCGCCAAAAATTTTTTTATTGTAAATTCCCGACTCCCGATCCCGACTCCCGAGGTCATTTCCCGACCCGACTCCCGTTTCCCGATTCCCGAGTTTTTTCTTCTCCCGAACATCACTACCTTGTACTAGTGGGGAAAGGATGACTTTAACCCATGACAGATTTATCGTTTTATTTTTATTTTTTTCTCTTAAAAAAAATTTTTTTTAATTTTTTTTTTCACATGAATCTCAGTCCTGACAACTGATATTTTTATAAAAAATCGAAAAATAAAATCCTCAATTAAAATGAGCTTGATCCGCACCCATTTTAAATGAACACACACACCTTACTCAATTTTACCCTCCAATGCTTCCCCTTCCCGTTTTTTATTAAAAAATGTGTTCTCTTCAATAATTTTCCCAATTTCAACAGTTGTTTAAAACACTTGATCTCCTCTTTATTATCCGTCAAAAGTAGGCGGGGCAGAGCTCTCAAATCCACCCATCTCTCTCTCCTTTTTTGAGAGAAAGGCGGGGAAGTGTGTCTGTTTTATAGGAAGAATAGAACAACTCTAAAACTTTAAAGAGCTTATTTCCCTCAGTTAAAGTCGGCATTTCTTTCCTTTAAAGAGAGATTAGAAGCATCTCTCCCTTTTTAAAAATTTTATTTTTTCTTCCTTTTCAATCATTAATTTGTTTATGATAAATAGGCTTTTGAAGAACGCGAAAATTGATTTTAACAGATTAACCTCTCCCCTTTAACCTCTCCCCTTTAACCTCTTCCTTAACCCCAAATAATAACAATAAATCTCTCGTTTAGACAAATAAAAACCCGCCACAATTGGCTCTTTAATCTCAAAGTGCTCCAAGTGCCAGAGCAAAACACCAGGCCAGAAAAAAGGTTCCTCCTCCGCAGCAGCAATGTCAGCAGAGAATGATCAAGGTAACGCGCCAGGGCAAGAACAACAGCCGCCGGTTGAAGAACAGCCACCACAAGAAGCTCCTCCGGTAAATTTTTATTTTGATTAAATGATAGAATTGGTGACATTTTGATATTAAAGGCTGAGGCTCCTCCAGCTGAAGAACCAACTCCAGTAGTTGAAGCTCCTCCTGCAGAGGCTCCAGCTGAAGCGCCAACAGTCGAAGCCCCTGCCCCAGCTGAGGCTCCTGTCGAGGCTCCCGCCGCTGAAGCCCCACCAGCAGAAGCTCCCGCTGATGCTCCCCCTGCAGCTGAAGTAGAAAAGTTGTCATTGGAAGAAGCTGCTCCTCCACCAGCAGAACCTGCCCCAGAAGCAGCTCCACCAGTTGAAGAAGCACCAGCTGCACCAGCAGTAGAGGAAGCTGTGCCACCACCACAAGAGGCGCCTGGTAGAATTCTTTTTCAAAAAGCAATCAAATTTTGTGTATTTAGTAACTGAAGCAGCACCACCAGCCCCCGAAGAGGCTGCAGCCCCTCCAGCGCCTGAAGCTGCTCCAGGTGAACAATATTGCCTCAGGGCATTTTCAAAATTAAATTTTTAGCAGAGGAAGCTCCTGCTCCAGAAGCACCTCCAGCTGAATGCCCAGCTGAAGTTCCACCACCAGCAGAAGCCCCTGTAGCAGCGGAAGCTTTTCCACCTGCTCCCTCTGCAGAAGCGGAAGCTCCACCAGCTGAGGCGCCCGCTCCTGAAGTTGCTGCTCCGCCAGCAGAGGCACCCCCATCTGAGGCATTTTTTTACTAAATCTAAACGATTTTCGAAAATTAAAGGAGGCTCCTGCTGCTCCAGAAGCCGCTCCTGAAGCACTCGCAGAAGCCCCAGCATCTGAAGCAGCTCCAGAAGCACCTGTGGCTCCAGAGGCTGCTCCTGGTAGTTTTTGATCTTCCATCGTAAAATAAAATTGACTTTTAGAAGCAGCACCTGCTGAAGCTGTTCCTGATGCAGAACCAGCAGCTCCAGCTGAGCCTGTGGTTGAGGGTTAAATTTGTTTGAGAGAATGAAATGGATGGAGCAAATATTGATATGGTAGGGGATTTTTAAAAATTTTTGGAGACCTAAAAATTTTTTTGGAGGTCTAAAAAAATTTTTTTGGAGACCTAAAAAATTTTTTTTGGAGGCCTAAAAAAAAATTTTTTTTGGAGGCCTAAAAAAATTTAAAAAAAAATTTCTAAAAAAAATTTCAAAATTTCAGGAAAAAATATTTTTGTCAATTGTTTTCATTTTGCAATGGATTTTAATTTTTCGAAGCGCAACGGGAAAGAGCCAGACTGTTTATTTTACAGCGAGGCAGCTAGACGGGTTATAAAATTTAAAAAGAAAATAAATTAAATAATTAATTTTTAATTTCTTCTTAAAATTGTTTCCCGTTTTAAAAATCCTTCGCTTTTTTCTAAAAAAATATTTTAACAGTCCGGCCTTCTCCTTAAATCTTTCCCCCAAATAAATTTTATATTTTTATTCTTCCCCTCTCATATTTTATATTTGAATTAAAAAATAAAAATATTCAATCTCTCTCTTTGTGCCTAAACACCCTTAAAAATTATATTATTTTTTATTCAGAAATTACTTAAATAAAATTGTAAAAATGTTTTTTTTCTTGTTTGATTTTTCGTGATTTTGCTAGGAATTTTTACTAGGAAATTTAAAAAATTTTTAGGGTTTTTATTAAAAATTTGAAAAGAATTTTCGGTAATAGTTTGGAATTCGCCCCCCTTTTTTCCTTTCTATATTTTCCTAGTTTTTTCTCATTTTATTGCAAATCATATATCATTCGAAAGAGCTCTTCGAGCTGAGTCGAATGACACTAAAATCAACGAAATCCGACTTAAGTGAACAAAGTTGTGACCGTTTATTTTATCCCCTTGCATTGGCACAAAAAGTTTACCCAAATAGGATTTAGCTTCATAATTTTGGTAAGTATGATCAGATCTAGCCAATCATGGTATCATTCGACCAAGCTCGAAGAGCTCTTTCGAATGATATATGATAAATTATGTATCAAACAAAAAAGCTCAAAATGGTCAGGGAAACGGTGAAAAAAAGGGGGGCGAATTCCAAACTATTACCGAATTTTCAAGCAGCTAGACGGGTTTTAAAAATTTTTCATTAGAAAATTAAAAAAAATTTTTCCAGGGTGTGCGGACATATCGGGATTGGTGTGACAAAAATAATTTCTTGCGTGTTCTAAAACATAAAAACTCTATTCCACAATATACTGCCCAAGACCCAGTGGCCGTAGGTGCCGAAATCAGTAGGGTAACTGATCGTACATTGAAATATCCCGATATGTCTACGTGTCTTTTCCAGTTCATTTTTACTTGCCTTACTTAAAAAATAGTTATGATTTTCAAAAAATTATTATCCAAAAACAAAAAAAAAATTATTAAACAAAAACAGAAATGCAATAAAGCAACAAATAACAACAAATGTTATGGGATTATTATTTAAAAAAATATTAAGAGAAAATTCAACTATTAAGCATTTTTAATTGTTTTTAAACCTCAAAACGGGTAAATACCTCATTTGTTGTTTGACGAACCTAAAAATTATTTTAATTCTTTTTATAATTACAAATCCTCTCTGTTCAAGAAAAAAAAACTTGCCTGAACAAAAGTAGCACGTTTAGAAAGTTCTTTAATTTTTGGAGCACCAACATAAGTACATCTTTAAAAAATTTCGAATTTTTTTTTAACTTTTTTTTTGAAAAATTAATTTTCATTTTTAATCATTATTACATCCCATGTTTGAGTCTAACTGGTTTGAATTGCTATAATAAGCTTGAAGCTCTTAAATAGGTAATCCTACCACACTTCCCTTTCCAATAATAAAGTATGGTTTCAGTGGGTACACCCCAACTTACCGCAGAATTATCGAATCCAAGACGACCTGGTTTAGTTCAATTCAGCTCGCCGAGGCGCATCGAACCATACACCAAGGCGTCTCGGGTTCGACGATTCTGAATAAGATATAGACTGCGATAAGTTGGCCTGCTAACGGTTTCAGCACGATTTTGGCACTATAACTTGGAGGAAAAAGAAGGGAGGAGGGTTAAGTTTTTAACTTTCTTCTCAAGTGAAAAATTGAGTAAAACTTGATTCCTTTTCATTTTTATTTAATTTTGAGTTAAAAAAATACTTACGCAGATCTCAATCCTCCCAAAATATCCTTTATTGTTGCCATAACATCTCCTCTATAATTTTGTAAAAATCAGAATTTAAAAAAAATATAAAATTGAGATTACCTATATGGAATTGAGATCGTTTTCCCTTCAGAAGCTCTATAATCAGCAACAACAGTGCTATGATGTTTTTTCATTGCCGTACTTGAAGCCATTCCATAGAAGAGTTTGAACTGAAAAATTTAAATTTTATTTCAGAATTCAATCAGAATTTAGAAAAAATCTGAATTCAGAATCAAAAATCAAAATTAATTCTGAAATCCAAAGAAAATCAGAATTTTAAAATTAAAAAAATCAGAATTTCATTTCACATCAAAATTCTGAAAAAATCTGAATTCTGAATCAAAATAGAATAAAAAAATCAGAATCCTAAAACTCATTGTCAGAACTAAAAATCCTAGTTCATAAAAAAATCAAAATTCTGAAAAAAATTCAAAGAAAATCAGAAATTGAAAAAATAAAAATCAGAATTCTGTTAACCTTTTTCCCATTCTTTTCAATTATTTCTCCACCAGATTGATCATGTCCAGCAAGCAATCCACCCAACTAATTTAAATTAAAAAATAATTCTTTACCAAAAATCACAAAAATAACCATAACAAAATCAGCTCCAGCTCCAAAAGCTTTAGCCACATCACCTGGACAGGTACACCCCCCATCACTTATTATATGCCCGCCTAAACCATGGGCGGCATCTGAGCATTCCAAAACAGCACTAAATTGTGGGTAGCCTACACCCGCCTTGCTTCGAGTTGTACAAACACTCCCTGGGCCAATTCCTACTTTAACTAAATCAGCACCCGTCAGAATTAATTGTTCAACCATTTCTGCTGTTACCTAATAAATAAATAAAATCAGAATTTGTAATTTTGTTCCCTTGACTTTTATTTTTTTACAATTACAAATTCTGATTTAAATGGGAATCAAAATTTGCAAAAACTAGTAACAATATTTAATTAAAAAAGAAATTGTAAAAACAAAAATTTTAAAATCAGAATTAGTAAAAAAATAAAAATCAGAATTTACAAATTCTGATTTCTTTTTAAATTAGAATTTGTAGTTCTGTGCCTTATAATTTTGTTTTCTTACAATTACAAATTCTGATCTTAAAAAGAATTCAGAATTTGTAAATTCTGATTTAAAAAGGAATCAGAATTTGTAAAAACTATTAACAATATTTAATTAAAACAGAAATTTTAAAAATAAAAGAAATCAGAATTTGTAATTCTGTTCCCTTACAATTTTGGTATTTTACAATTACAAATTCTGATCCTAAAAGAAATTTAAATAGAAATTCCGATTTAAATAGGAATCAGAATTTGTAAAAAATATTCTAATACAAAATTACAAACCACATTTCCAGCAAAAATTGTATGATTTGCAAATTGTTCGCGAACACGTCGAATAATATCAACAAAAGTTTCGCTATAACCTTTAAATTAATTAATTTAAAAAATTAATAAAATTATCCAACAAAAATAACCATTAGCAACATCCAAACAAATATATTTTAATTCGGGAACAGCTTCCAAAACTTGACGTATTTTATCAAAATCATCGTTGCTTGAACCAGAGGAGACTGCAATATTATCAAAAATCTAAAAAAAGAAAATTATGAGGAAAAATTTTTAAAAAAATTTTTAAACTGTAATTAAAAATTCTCAAAATTAAAAAAAAATTTGTATTTTGAATTTCGTACCCCCCACCCTCTCCTTATTCTTTCTCAAGGTGTTAAAAATAATCAGTCTTCAGTGCTCTACATTCTTCTGAAGACTGACCATTTTTAACACCTTGAAAAATAAAAAAGAGGGGGAGGGGTACGAAATTCAGATAATCAAAAATTTTCAAGAAATTTTCAAACATTTTTTCTTCCTTACTTTTTCAATTAAAAAATAATTTAATAAAGAAAAATTCAAATAAATTCAAATAAATTCAAAAAAATTGACCTTTGGGTTTTCTTTAGCTTGATCTCGAAAATTCTTCCAATCATCTATTGTGTACCATTTATGAACTAAAAATTAATTGAATAATTCTTAAAATTAAAAAAATACAAACTCGTAGTAAAGCAGTTGACTTGCGCCAAAGCATTTGCCATTTCAAAGGTTCCAACGGTATCCATATTCTGATAAATTAAATTTTTGATTTATAAAAAAATATTTTTAACAGCTAATTTAGTGAAAAATTAGGGTGCCGTTTTCGAGTCGGGCCGACGGTCGAGTCATTTTTTCGGGACGAACTTTACCGAATGGCCGGTACAAGTCTTTTTCGGGCCAAATATATTTATTAGGCACGACCTGATCTTTCGGTCCAAGTTGGGCCATTTTGGCAACCCTATTGAAAATTAAATTTTTCTTTAACTTTTTTAATCTAAAATTTTTCGGAATTTTTCAATAAAAATAAAAAAAAGTTTTTTTACACTAGCAACAACAGGAGTGCCATTATAATGTTGTTTTGAATGTTTAAAAATGAATCTGAAATTAAAAAAAATTTTTTTTTAATTTTTTAAAAATAAAAAAGACATACTCTCTATTCAAATCAACTTCTGAACGACTTTTAAGTGTTGAACGTTTAGGTACTAACAACTTGGAATTAAAAGAAAATTAATTTTAAAAAATATTATAAAAATACCACATCAGAAAAATCAAATTTAACTCCATCAATAATGCGAGGCATCGCAGAAGAATTTTTAAAATAATTTTAAATAATTAATGCTATTAAATAGAGAACCTGTAAAAAATTTATAAAGTAAAAAAAAAATTTTTTTTTGGATTTTTGGAATTTTTTCTGAATTTTTTTAGAAAAAAATTTAACGAAAAATCCAAAAAAATTTTCAAAAAAAATTTTTTTGACCTAAAAAAGTTTCTCTCTCTTCAAGGCACGCAACTTCTCAAGCCATTTATTATTCTAAAAAAATTTAAATCAACCAGAGCTTGTCTTTACTTTAATAACTCTTATGTCACGCGAAGGAAAGGAAAATAGCACAGAAAAGAATAAATTTAGAGAAAAAGGCAAGCACGCACCCAGTCACGCAAAATTCGATTTTTCACATTTCAAAAGAAGAATTTTATTTGTCCTCCTTTTTTATAAACAAGCTACACAATTAAAAAGAAACATTTTTAAATTAGCTTCTTTTTTCTAATAATCCGAAGCCTCTCAAAAAATCTCAGAAGCCCTTCCAAGTCGGGACACGCCCAATTAGGCGCGAGGCCAAGTAGGCGCAAAGCCATAACTAGCTGGAGAATTTCTGGCCCTTGACAATTTTGGTACCAACCTCTTTAGCTCGATGAGAGGAATCGTTTAATACTAAATTTGATGAGATTTGAAAATCTTGAAGCAAGTTATGGCTTTGCGCCTACTTGGCCGCGCGCCTAGCTGTACCCTTCCAAGCCTTTTTTAATTAAAAAAATTTCTCTTAATTTTAGATGACAGAACATCCCATTTGGAAAATTGGCCTATTCAACAGAATTAACGTCAATGAAGCCGAGTGTATTAAATGCAAAGAAGATGGGGCCGTTAAATATATATTTAAGCTTCCCTATCGTAATCTAAAAGGATTGTTTGCACACGTTAGAAGTAAAATACACAAAGACACGGAAATTTGTAAATATTTTGAACAACTTATGGCAGAACAGGACAAGTTAAGATAAAAAAAATTTTATTGAAAAATTCAAAAATTTCGTAAAATTACGAGAGATACACGCAAAAATTGCAAAAAAACTGGCAAAAAAAATTTTTACCAAAATGACACTGAAAAATGACAATTTGTCCCATTTTTATTTTTAAAAGTTCCAGTAGAGTCTGGGATTTTTAATATTCATTTTTTATTCATTTTACTTCATCCTTAATAAATTCTAATAAATTTTAACTAATAATTTTTATTTAATGACAAGAACTGGAGTTAGTAACTGGACGGAACTTGAATTGACAGCTTTTGTGGAGGTTACTCTTTTTATTTTTAATTATTTTTATTTTTTGAGGATTTTAAACCTTAGGTACCCCATTTTAGTTCTTCCTTATTTTAACTTGTTTTATTTCTGGCAACTAGAATCTGACTTGGATCTGGATTCAGGCTTTGATTTTTTTGGATCCAGAGTCAAGATTAAGTCATTTTTCCAAGATCAAGGGCATGGTTCTTTTAATTTTCGTTCTATATTGGAAACTAAAGAAATTGGAAGGAAAAGGAGATAAAACAATGAAAAATAGGAAAATAAATAATTTGGGGTACCTAAACTTCAATGTTCCCCAAGTTCATTTTTCAGGAAATTTCTTCACGACAAGAATTAATTTTTAGAAGGCACAGACCAGTAAATTCAGAAATTGATTTGGACGCTATTTGGGCTAGTGTAGCAAATGCTTGTGCTGACAGGGGATTTGAAAGGTTTGCTGGACGTACTCGAAAACAATTACAATGTGATTTGTGGGGAAAGAAGAAAAAAGAGGTTATGGAAAGATATGAAAATGCTTTGGCAGCTGGAATCGATGAAAGTCGGAAATGGAAAGATGTAAGTGAGAAATTTAAGGTTTTATTAGATTTTGATTTTGAGTACTTGTAAGGACAGATCAATTTTTAGGAATATTTTTTGCGGGGACATTTCCTGTAGTTGTTGCTGGAGATCGGACCGAGACGAGATCCCGGAAAAATTTTTTTCTTCAAGATCTCGATTCTCGTACGACCCTCCCAGTCCTGTATCTAGTTGTTGCCCTTTTATTTTTTTGAATTTTGGCACAATAGTTTGGTGTACCTAAAGTTTAAAGTTTCCCCATCTATTTTTTAGGAGTTCTAGGCTCCAATTTTATTTTGAGTTTCTAAAATATGGTTTCCAGCAATGCTCTGACAAACTCAGAAATTTTTTTTGGTTGATTAAATGGAAAGGCAAAACAATAGAAATAAGGGGAATAGGAGAAGTCAACAAAATCTTAAGTTCTTACGAGTATCAAAGATCTAAAAAAAATCTTTTTTTAATTTCGTTTTTAGTGGGAGAGGTTAATAATTGACATGTGCAAAAATAACGGCGGAGAAGAAGAAACACCAAGCAGAAAAAGGCCTATAGAAGAACAATTTTTGGCTTTAGCAAATTATCAATCTAATAATAGCAATAAAAATGGATGTAATTTGGATGAAATTTCACAAACTTCTTCGAACGCTGGTTGGCCTAAACATGTCAAATTGGAGGTTTATTTTTTTTAATTTAAATAGGAAATTTATTTTACAATTTCTGTAAGAAGTGTAAAATTATAGTGAAAAAACGAGTAAATTTTGCAAGTATCAGATATTTGCAAGATTATTTGGAACTCATGCAGTACCCCATTTATTCGCGAGATACATCCGTATTAATTAGGCGAATTAACTAATCAACCCGATTATTCGCGAGCTAGCAACAAGCCTATATTAAGCGTACTAAATAAAGCAGCTCTCGAGCAGCTAGTTAACACCGCATGATACGAGGAATTAGCTCATGTGTTTTTCGACCTCAATATGGTTACTTTTAGAGATCGGAATTTTGAAAAAACCGGGACCGGGAAACGGGTTCTGAAGGTCGACCGGGAGGGACCCGGACCGGGAATTCCCGTTCCCGGTTTCATCCCGGTCAAAAATGACCGGGACCCGGACCGGGAAACCGGGAAATTTAAAAAAAATTTTAAATTCATTTAAAAATTTTAAAAAGTTATGGGAGTAGTTATTTATTGAAAAATCTGATTTATGAATAGAAGAATTTAATAAATCAGTAAAATAAATCAATAAAAGAAATGTAAATTACAATAAATTAAAACATAAAGCGGATTACGTAGGGCTAAAGGGATTTGAGAGGCTAGAGAATAATTGTGGGATATTAGGAGATTTTGGAGTTTAAGATCTCCCGACAGCCTCCTCAAATTTTTTATACCGCCTGTATGTATTCCTCATCTAATCCCCCTTAATCCCTCCTAATCCACTTTGATGCTGATTTAATTTTTATTTAATTTAATTTTTATTTAATCCCTCCAAATCCACTCTGATCTTCTCTGTGCAATAGTGATATCAGGGATTTAAAGAGATATCGAGAGATTCAAGTATTTGTTGGGAACATTAAGAGAGAGTATGGAGAAAGACCTCAACCACCTATATCACCTGATATCTATTCACATCCCTTCAATTGGAAGGCAATGATATCATATGATTAAGGCAGATCTAATGGATTTAGAGGGATAAAGATGGCTAATCACCAGGTCCTTTGATAAAATCGCACTATAAACTAATTTCCCTCAACTTTTCCTCCAATAATACCTCCAAATTTCATCCTTTTTCAGCGCCGCAGGCGAAAATTTTGAGAATTTTTGTAAAATCTCCAATATTTTTAAGTCAAAAATCAAAACGCCAAGCAAAAATATTTAAAATTTGCTGCTAGAATTTTTCCCGGTTTCCCGGTCCAAAAAAAGCCGGGATCGGGAACGGGAAACGGGAAATGAAAATTAACCGGCCGGGACCCGGACCGGGAAAACCGGGAATTCCCGGTCCCGGTTTCATCCCGGCATCTTCAAAAAAGCCGGGAAAAAGGACCGGGAAACGGGACCGGGTCCCGATCCCGTTCCGATCTCTAGTTACTTTGACCATTTTTAGCTTGCGAATAAATGGGGTGTGTACCCAAACTGCATAAGTTCCGATCATTTTTTGTTTGCATATTTTTGATGAGAATTATGGGAAATATTATTTTAAATTCTTATTTTTGTTATTTTAAGTTATTTAGGAATTGTTGGGATAAGATCAAATCTGGCCAAATTTTAAAAATTATAGGATTCAAAAGAGTCCAAGAGCATAGCCAGGGGGTCATTTCGGGGGAGGGGGGCTAACACGAGGTGTTTCCCTTTCCCCCATTCGAGGGGGGGAAGGTGCTTCAGCCCCCTGGCTACGCCCTGAATGAGTCAAATTCAAAAAGGGGTCAGATCCAAAAAGTGACAATTATTTATTTTTTTCAGGAGGAAGATTTAAGATTAATTCCTCAAGTATCTCTATTTGAACGTTTGTGTCCTTCTAATAATCCCCCAACAAATAATTATGAAATTCCAACAGAAAATCACCAACAAAACCAAAATTCTTCCCAAAATTCTTCCCAAAATTTTTCATTTAAATATTCTTGTAGAGAAGATGTAATTAATCAAATATTTAAACAAAAAATTAAATTGGGATTAAAATGGACAGAAATTGCAAAAATTATTGGAAATAGTAAAGAATGGACAACAGCTGCGTGTTTAGGAAAAATGCAATTTAATGAAATTGAAGCAGAAAAAATGGTTTTTTTTTCTTTTTAAAATTATTTTTCTGATTTTTTTTGTTGAAAAAATTTTATTTTTGAAGGAAATTATCCGCAAAAGATGTCCGCAAAATTAAAAAAAATTTCTTTTTTCAGAACAAAATTTTTGGGTTTATTTTTGATTCTTATTTCTTTAACCTTTTATTCTCCCAAACATTTTTATTTTTCCTGTTCTTAATTAGGTCCTTTTGCAGGGGGAAAATTAAGCCAAATTTTGGAGGGCCATATCCTGGCCAGATCAAAAAACGGACAGAAACGGCTCAAAATCCTTGCTAGAAAGGACACATTCTCTAATCGAATGAGCCCGGTCTCGACCGTTTTTAGGTCGGACGCCTCGCAACCTTCCCTTATAAATCCCATAACCAGTAAAATTCTAATTTGAATGATTCATGCTAGTTTCCCTTAAAATTAAAAAAAAATTTCGAAATTGGCAAAGCCAAAAAGGGTAACAGATTTAAGTATTTTTTGATTTTGGATGGAATAAGCTATTAAAAATATGATTAAAAATTTTTTTTATTAAACAGATTGAAATATTCCAATTAGCCCCAGATGCAAAACAATGGCTCAAATCTATCCCAAATAGAGGAAATACTAATAATTGTGCAAGTACTTCTAATGATCCTCTTTTGTATCGGTTTCAAGAAGTAATATACAATATTTATTAAATTTTTAATAGTTTATTTTTAAATTTCAAAACATTACCGGAAACCCCAAACTTTTTTTCGAACCTTAAAATTTAATTTCTGCAAAAAAATTTGCGGACTTTACGCAAAAATATTTTGGAGATTTTTCTTCTTTTTGGGCAATTTTCTTTTATAATTTTCTACTACATATACATTTAGAATTTTTTTAATTAGCTTTAAATTTAATTTTTGGTCTTTTTTCAAATTCAAAGAACTGTCCGCAAAATTTGTCCGCAAATTAAAAAAAAATTTTTTTTTAATAATTTTTAAAAGGTATTCAATATTTATGGAGATGCATTAAAAGAATTAATTAATGAACAATTTGGAGATGGAATAATGAGTGCTGTAGATTTCCGAATAGATTTACAAAAAGAATTGTGTAATGAAGGTGATAGAGTAAAAATAATAATGTCTGGAAAATTTTTGCCTTATAAACGTTTTTAAATTTTTAATTTAATTAATTTTCTCATCGGCCTTTTTATTATTAATTTTATTATGTATGCATTTTCTTTTTTATTTTTTAAAGAGAAATTTAAAAGTTTGGTCACATTACTTGAAATCCCAAACATTTCGAACTAAAACAAGGAATACAATCCGAAAATTTTTCGTAAACCCGCCCTGACTTTTCTCTCAACTCAACCCATTTCGTTTAGCCTCTAAACCCTTACTTTTTTCAGGAAGGCTTTCTTCCTTTAAAAAAGCTAAGCCGTTCTTTCTGCTCCTCATGTACAGGTTGAACCGGCACATCGTTCGGGTTCGTCGGTTTGTCGAATCGTTGACGCAATTCCTGCATGGCACTCGCCAGTTCCTCTGCTGTCGTTTGTGGTTGTTGTTGCTTCGGGGGGCAGCAGTTGTCGATGGAGACGTAATCCTGTCGGTGACTGGCGTGGTGAGAGTAGGGAACGACATATCAACGTTTTCTTAAGAAAAAAAAGTTGATTTAATAATATCAACAATTATTCGCGAACAACTTTTTTTTAAATACATAACGCCAGAACAACGTTAATATCAACGTTTTGCGCCAAACAACTGCGAATCAACGTTTTTGTATCTTTTTTTCTCTGCTCTGCCATTATATTTCTCTTCTTTTTTTCTGTTAATTTTCGTTCGTGTAGTCTCTCCTTTGGAATTTGAAATTTTCATTTTTATAAATGTTCAGTCCCTTTTCTGTAATTTTTAGGGATTTTCCACAAATATTCTTACTAGATGGATGAATTTGAAAATGAATTAAGAGTAGCATTCGAAAGCGGCGATCTTGAAGAACCTGTGGCACCGTCATCGAAACGTCGGAAATCCGATATCCCTAAGGGATTAGATCTAGGAAGTCCGAAGACATTAAACAATTCCGACACATAAAAACAATTAAAAGTAGAAGATTCCTTAATTATTTCAACACAATATTCTAATAAATTATTTTATTCTTCTTTTGATATTTTTTATCAATTACAAATACTTCGAAAAGAATTAATTTTATTGAGAGAAGATTTTTCTAATCGAAGTTTAGGTAAAAAATAATTTTTTTGAATAGAGGGGAGGAAATATTTAAAATTTATCAGAAATTTCCCGTTCACACACTCCAACAATTGGCGGAGAAATTCATTCGGATTCGGGAAGTTCTGGAACTGGTACAAGAGAATCTCGACGTTTAAGTATATTAGAAAATGTAGTATATTAGAAACTGGTACAAGAGAATATATATATTAGAAAATGGATATCAGATAACGGAAACATTTTTCCTTAAGTTTTAATCTATTTATTAAATGTTTGGTGAGGTAAAACAAATTTTTTTTTAACAAAATGTATACCAAAACAATTATTTCACCAAACACACCAAATACATAATTCTCATTAAATTAATTTTTTACATATATTTGTCTTTTTTTTACATATATTTGTCCTTTTTACATATATTTGTCTTTTAAATTTCACCACTATTAGTGTATTTTTATACCGTGTGGTTGCTCATAAATAAATAAATAAATAAATAAAAAAAAAAAAAAAAAAAAAAAAAAAAAAAAAAAGTTCCTCTGCAGCGTTGGAAAAACTTCGTTGGATTCAGCCTACTCGAAGTGGTGAAGGAGGGGATGAAAATAATGCAAAGAAAAGCCTTTCAAGTCAGCAACAAGAAAATACTACAACAATTATGGAAATGGAAGAAACAGTTGGGGATGATGGAGTAGACTACTTCTGGTTATTTTAAAAGAATAATTCTCTTAATTTTACATTTGTTTAGCCAGTCTCTCTTTATTTTTTTGTCTAGTAAGGTTGCGGAATTTTAAGAAGGAAATTTTTAAACCCAAACATTCTCCTACCCGAAATACCTCTTATTATAAAATCATATTTTCTACCTTTCTTATTCTCTACTTTTTTCAGTCCAACGAGTAAACAAAATCCCTTCGTTACCATTTAGTGCCAGAAGTTCAATGCTTCATGCAAGTGGCATTCGACGCAAAACACCTACCCGTATGCCTAGTGCTGATTCATCAGCTACAACATGAGCAGGTCTAGGAAAGGTCTCAGAAAAATTAGAAATGAGTAAAGTCGAGAACTGGGAAGACGTACAAAATCATTGAAAATCATCTTCTACTTCTTGTGAACGCATATTCTCGTTTTTCTCCTTTAGTATATGATTATAAACGAAATCGTTTTGATCCGCATACTATTTCCACACTTATTTCATTACAATCATTATTCAAAGATGAATAAAATTTTGTTGTTTTAAATATTTTTTCAATTTTAATAAAGAAAATTCCTACTCGTAAAATTCTTTCAAATTCCAAAGGAGAGACTACACGAACGAAAATTAACAGAAAAAAAGAAGAGAAATATAATGGCAGAGCAGAGAAAAAAAGATACAAAAACGTTGATTCGCAGTTGTTTGGCGCAAAACGTTGATATTAACGTTGTTCTGGCGTTATGTATTTAAAAAAAAGTTGTTCGCGAATAATTGTTGATATTCGCCGCGAATCAACGAAAACGTTGATTTGTCGTTCACTAGGTGAGAGGCAGAGGAAAATATTAAACATTTCAATAAACTGCTTTTATAGCCTCGACGTTTTTTTGCTGGCAATTCCGTATTTCTATTTTCTACTATAAAAGCCCTCGACATTTTACTCATCTCCACCAACTCTACAAAACATTCATCATAACTCATCGAACGTCTACATCGTCTACAACTTATGCTCGGCCGCTATCTTCTATTGGAGCTCGACACCGGACCCTGGACAAGAAAGTCGTCAACGCTGTGCTCTCTGCTGCTGCTGCTCACCATCGCCGTACTTGCAGTTCCCGGACAGGACAAAAGCGAAATCGTCGGACTTGGCAGGCACACAAAGGATGGAAACGACCAAGTAACGCTCGTCAACAACACAGTAATTGCCAACAGGGCAAACTTCGACGACCTTGCTGATTGTAACTTCAGGAAGCTGTATCCGGACGCCTGCGATGTTACAATCGGAGACGACTACATGTGAGGACTTTTTATTCTTTTTTTATGACTAATTGTAACTAATCTTTTATTTTGTTTCAGCGAGCTTCGGTACAACAAAGGCAGCAAGGGATGCACTGTGGACCTGCTCAGCGAGAACGAGTTGAACAAAAACACGATCAAGTTCACGACCGGAGTGCGAAACCCAAGAGGTGGAGATCTCACCAGATGCCTTGACGATGGTGCCACTTTCGAGAAAAGCCATAACAATATGTAAGTTTGCATTGTTTCTTTCGACTTAATAATTGGATTAACTCCCTTAAATTTTTGCAGCCTGCCTTTCGTCTACAACGTGAACAACACAGCCATCAAGAGGTTTAACAACAAGGGCCCGTACACTGTCGCATCGTGCTATAATAAACCGTCTTGTGAGGGTAAAAATGGTACATGCATGCTGTGGACATTTCTTGAAGTCTCATGGAGCTGGTCTGGGGGGCAAGTGTATGCTAATACACATCTAGGTGATGATTTCGTTTAATCTTTTAATACATAGCTTTATCATAAACTATGTTTCAGTTGGGGAAAAGTTGTCTCAGAACGTGCAACAGGAGCAGCAAATGACCAGGGACATGACCTTCAATCTGACAATAAGTTCTTCGAGCGCGTTCACGATGTGGTTCGCAAAAGAAAAGACATTCAACGCTACGGAGGATCCTGCTTGCGTTCCAGAAAAAGATCCAATCGCACCCCCTGAAACGTGGAAGATCACGAATGGAGATCACAGGGACAAACACCTGCTTGTCTTCAGCCTGCTTCAACAAAATGCGACTTTTGTGTACGTTGATGGTAAACGTAATGTCACTGCACATCCAGACGGACCGCATTGTGAACTCTTCGTTCAATTCGTGAGTTTTCGATTTTTACCTTTTTGTATAACTTTCCACCAATCTTATTTTTCAGGCTACAACCGACTACAGCCTGCTCGTTGTCAACACCTCTGCAACAACAGCGCCACCGACTACGACGACTACTGCAGCGACCACAGAAGCTACAACAACGGGAACATCAGAGACGCCTAGAACGACAACATCTTCAGCGACAACTTTGCCTACGGCCGCCAACAGCTCCACTTCCACCAGAACGACTTCTCGAACAACAACGAGTCCACAGCAGCAGGAGGATTGTGGCCGAGGTCTCTACATTGGAGTTGGCATTGCTGTTGGCCTCATTGTCGGGATCGTCATTGCAGTTTTGGTCTGGCTCTTGATGAGGGAGAAAGCAGGAAAGGATAAGAAAAAGGGAGGGAAGCAGGACGCCGAACGTGCAGAAGAAGATCGTCTGCTTGCGCTGTACAAGGCTGAGGAGAAGACCAAAGGCGAAAAGGTCGTCGGGACATTTGCTGCATGGAAAAAGAATGTGAGTTTAAAAATTTGAGAAAATGCATTTAATCAACCTTCTTTTCCCATTTTTTTCAGAGAAAGGAGAGCGAACCTAAGACTGCGGTGGAGCTGTCTTCAATCGACGACTTGATCGCTGCAATCTGGAAGAGAGTGGAGAAGAAAAAGGCCATGGACAAGCTGCAGTACCTTGTGGATCAGTTCGAGAAGCAGAAGGACAATGAAATCTTCGAGCGGGAATACACGCCGGAACTGAAAAAGAAGGGACTTGCAGTTGTTGGGTCTTTCGAGAAATGGAAAAAGGTGAAATTTTAAACATTTTTTCTCTCTGAATCTCAGTTAATCCGCCCAATTTTTATTTTCAGAGCAAGAACATTGCGGCGACGTTCACCTTGAACGACGGGACAAGGACGGCGATTGAATACGAGCAGCCAAAGGTCATCGAGAAGATCGTCGAGAAGGCTGAGAAGTGGACAATCGAGGAGGGGCCGACAATTGAGGAGAGGGAGATAAAGGAGGCGAATAGAGGCGCTGTGGACGGTGTTGATGTTCCAAAGACTGAGGAGGAGGAGGTTGATGATGGGTGGATTCCGTCGGAACCGAATAATAACCCGAGAGAGGAGATATAATTGTGATAAATTTGTGTCACCATATATTGCTCTCATTGTATGTATTGTATATTTCTTGTTGTTTGTATTGTATTTGAATTGTTGTATTTAATTGTATTTTTGTGTAGATATAAATTGTTGGTTGTATTGTTTATTTGATTCGAAAAATTGAGAAGTGTCCCTATTTTAGTTTAACTTCTGAATACGAAGCTCAGAAGTCTAGATGATTTCTTGTTGAATAAGGGGTACTTAAGAATTGTAGTCAGTAGTTAACCCACAGTCACCGTCGTGGCTGGCACTAAGCTAATCCTCATCAAGTGGTGGAGGGGTCCGACAAAACCTAAAGGGAGAGGGCATGCCGCGGTAAAGATCAAAGGGAGTGGACACTGTTGTGGGGTGGAGGGGTCCGATAAAAGGGAGAGTGCGTCGGCAAAGATCAAAGGGAGTGGGCACTGTCGTGGGGAGGAATGAGAAAACCCAAAAGAGGGGTGGATAATTTTAAAATATCAACGTCGCGGGTGGCAATAACACATAATCATGCCGTGTCTGCTAATAATCCTATAATATTTTTAGGGTTAGATTTGACGTAATCATGTAGAACGAAATGGATGAGTGATTAATTAGTAGAGAATGAGTAATTTGCAAACCATCACTCTCGAGAATTCGTACATTACTAGATTACAACCATGAAACATGACCCATTAACCATTATCACTAATCAAAGGGATTAATTTTGACGTTACTGTAAGTGATTAACGATGCAGGTGATTATTCTAGATGTTACTATAAGTAATTACCTTAAGCGGTGATTATTATATTTTATATATTTAATGATGATTTGTTATCGGTTACTCAGGCTGTTAATTAAAGTGATAGATGATAATTTTTTACCAAATTAAAATTCTTTATTTTCAATCCCCAATTCCTTTTTTTTTTGCTCCCCCAAAATTTTGCCTTTGTTTTTAATACATTTTCAGAAATATAATTGACCTTGACCTAATAAAAATTTGACCTTAATCCTTTATTTTTTATTAAATTTAAAAATTTTTTAAAATTTTCTCTTTGATGTTGCCGATATTTTAAATTTATGCAAATTAACCTTTTAAAAACTCTTTGAAGATGCCGCCTATATTTTAAAATTTTTTAAAACTTATTTTCTCTTAAATTTATACAAATTAATGTTTTAAAACCTCTTTGAAGTTGCCGCCTTTATTTCATAAGTAAAAGTTTTGTCAAAATATTTCATATAAAAACAAAGATTTTTTAAATTTATTTCTCATTTGTATTCATTTTACAGAAAGTTTAAATAATTTAAAATATTTATTAATTTCATTTGCTCCTCATTTTTATTTTAATAGGAGCTCTTTTTTGCTCCCCATAAATTTTTGCTCTTTATTCATAGGAGCTCTTTTTTCATAGGATTTTTTCAATAATGGACTATATTCCTCCAACAAAACGCGCAAGAGCGTTCTTTATTGATAACCTCCTCTCTATCAATCAATCAGGAGGAGATGCTTTACAATATATTGAACAACTAGAAAATACTACAAAATACATCAATAAATTCAAAATCACCAAAAATTACACAAAATTCCTTATTCAGAATATTCCGGCCGACCCTGAGGCCTTATTATCAGGAATATTCCAGCACTGTTTCAACGAAGCCATGAACAACGCAAGAAACAATGGACTTGAACCGGAGGAGCTGAGCTGCACAGTAACAAGTGAGTTATTAGATTCTGATATATGGATACCCCTTAGGCCCTCATCACAAAACACCTTCAATACCCTGCTTAATCAATTTAATAAGGTTTCTCAAAGTAAAAAGCAGGCTGGAGTTACACTTTGGGGAAAACCCTTTTCAGTTAATGTTATGGTTGTTGATAAGAAGAATTTGGTCAATGAGAGTAACATTATTGGCGGAGCTCCTCGAAAAATTGCTCCTATTCATCATCAGATCAAGGAGCAGAATTTAATCAAAATTAACAACAACAACGATGGTTATTGCTTATTTTATTCTTTATTAGCAACACTTGTGCGGCTTATTGGAAACATGTCTCGTTCTCAATTTTACGACTACATTCATAGTCGTTTCGGATCAAGAGGACGATTTGAGAGGGAAACTTTGGAGCTGATGGATCAAGTTGGAGCTCCTCTTGGTCAGAAGGAGTACAATGCTGAAGAGTGGGTCCCTCCCGTGGTTGACTTTTGGAATGGATTGTATTCAGGCCAGTTTTGTTTTAAAGTTTTCATTTTTGATTGTTTGGGGCACTACAAGCCCTGCTTTAAATATGGTCCCGACAATTATAATTCCCCATTGCTCCTCTATTTTGATGGCTCTCATTTTAATGGAGTTACGAGTACAGGAGGGCTTTTTGGACAACCTTATTGTTTGGAATGTGAAACTGTGTATCAACGTCCGCAACAACATTCTGCTTCATGCCGTGCACACTGTTTGAATTGCTCTCGTGTTGGTCCACTTTACCCCTGCCCTCCTAGGAATAATTTTTCCAAAAAATGCAATGGGTGCTCCAAGAGCTTTAACAACGAAAATTGCTTCGACCATCATCTGAGTTCACGATATTGTCAACAGTCCAAACGTTGTGAGAAGTGTGGAGTAATTTGGGATACAAAAGACAATACAAGAGGAGGCAGGAGCGGCCACATTTGCAATGAGAGGTATTGTTCAACTTGCTCAGGATACCACGACCCACAGCGCGGCTGCTTTATTAAGCCTTTGGAGCCCAAGGAGCAAAAACCCTATCGATTTGTAGCTTTTGATCTGGAGACTATGCAGCATGTCTCAGATGGAAACAACAAGAGAAATCACCAAGCAAATTTTATCGCAGCAAGAGTTACATGTCCCAAATGTATTGAAGAGGAGCAGGAGCAGTGTAAAGTTTGTGGGAGCAACAAACTTGTAACTTTTTCGGAGCGCCCATTTTCCAGAACTCCCGTAGATCTACAGAAAGTCACCGAGGATCCAATCATCTCCTTTGTCAAATGGATAATTGAATTAACAACAGACTACGACACCATCGCCTTTTCACATTTCGGAGGGAGGTTTGATATGGTAATAGTTTTCCGGGAGCTCTTTCTTATGGGTTTTACTCCTGAAATGCTGAAGAGAGGAAATAAAATGTATGAGATGAAAGTGAAAATTGGGAAGAAAAATATGCTCATCTTCAGGGACAGTTTCAACCTGATGCCAATGTCTTTGGCATCTCTTGTCCCAGCCTTTGCTCTTGAGGTTGAGGACAAGCCTTTCTTCCCCCACCTCATCAATCAGCCTAAGTATTATGGAAAAGAGGTGTTTCCCATCCCTTCTGACTACTTCGCAGATGGGATGATGCCAGAGAAGAGAAAAGAATTTGATCGATGGTATGATCAGCACAAGGAGCTCCCATTCTTCTTGGATGAGGAGTTGGCAGCATATTGCACCAATGATGTGGAAATACTCCTAGCAGCTCTTATTGCTTTTAGACGCGAATTCATGGATGTTACAAAAAGAGCTCCTTGTCAAAGAGCTGCATCAAATAAGGCGCACAATGGTATTGACGTTTTAAGGGAATCAATGACCATTGCATCCGCATGTATGAACCATTTTCGAACTAATCACTTGAAAGAAAACCATTTGGCTCTTGTCCCAGAGAAAGGCTACGATAATGTGGATAATCAGAGCCGTCTTGCTCTCAAATTCATGAAATGGTATGAGGAGGAGCATGGAGTAAATATTCAAACTGCTCATTCAGATGGAGGGGAGAAAAAAGTTGGGAATTACAAGTTGGATGGATGGATTGAGGAGGAGCAATTAGGAATAGAGGTGAATGGTTGTGTGTGGCATGGGTGTGAGAGATGCTACCAGGAGGACAACATAGTGCTCCCAAATGGAATTTCAGCAGGTAAACAAAGGGAGAAGGATGCAAGGAGGATGGAATTCATTAAAAGCCAAGGAGTAAATGTGCAAGTCTTTTGGGAGTGTCAAATTAGGAGTATGTTGGATAAAGATAGAGAAATGAGGAGCTCCTTCAAAAAGTATCTGGATGATGGTCCAATTGATCTGCGTGCGTGCTTTTTTGGTGGACGTACTGGCCCACTTCAACTCTTCTACTCACCAAAAGAAGGAGAGAAAATATCATATTATGACGTCACCTCCTTGTACCCATTTATTAATGTAACTACCAAATATCCAGTGGGGCACCCAAAGGTCCACATTC